CTCAGATCCCAGGATTGGTGTGGCCAGTTCACAGTGCAAACCACAGGATGTCCCACATGGACAGGAGAGCAGTGGGGGCTGCCAAGCCAGCCCCATTGGCTGGGGATGCAGCCTGGCTGTGCTCCCACTTGGAGAACATGGAAGGCTGCCCTTTGGAAGCCTTCGGCAGCCTTTTGGCAGCCTTTGCCCCGGGTGGTTGCACAGGCAGAGAGCAGCCAGGGAAGCTGCACGTCCTCACTGGATGCCAGGCAGCTCCTGGGCCATGCAGAGGTCCTTCCCGCAGCACACCCCAGCCCTACCAGCCAACATTCACTGTAACGATGGAGGCACCATGTTGTCTGCAGGACTTGCCCAGGACAGGCCAGGTATTGTTAAAAAATCAGATTTCATGGGCCAGTACATGGGTAGCTGCGCTCCCAGAATAATTCCCATGTTTAACCCGGAGGGCTGGAGTCTCTGGGGCAAGCCAAGATGGATCCAGTTGGCTTTCGCGAAGGGAGGGGAACTGCTCCAGTGTAGCTCCAGTGGCACTTTGGAGAGATGACTCTTGCAGGGGTGGAAGGAGGTAGGGAAGCCAACTCGTGCTGGGTGGCCTGCAGTGTCCCATCATTCCTGTCCTTCCCTCCTTCATGGATTGCACCAGAACTGCAAAGCTTGCTCAAAGCGTGCCCTCTGCCCTCTCCCCCTCCCTGCTGTGCTGGCTTGCTGGCATCGTGATGTTACTCTGCAGCATCTCTGAACAGAAGCAGGACCTGCCTCCATGCTGTCTGTCAGAAACCATCCTGAAGGCAAAGGAAAAAACAGAGTTCAGACTAAGGTACCAAAGAGTTAATGTTTTCCTAGGTTTACAAATGTATTTGTAGGATTTGTACTATGTCACATCTATAGCCATGAGATACTATTTTTATGCTGTAAACTTTTACAAATACATTTTTAAAGAAAGAGTTTAAAAATAAAGGTGTTTTTCTTTTTGCAAAGTTCCACCTCTTCCTTTGTTTGCCTGGTTTTGGTTGCTCACACTCAGATGGGGCTGGGAATACAGCTTAACCATGTTGTGGGTGAAGGCTAAGCATGTTAATACGCTGTGCATGACCCCAACTCTTAGCGAAAGCCAAGCTGGGAGCCAGGCAGAGAGACGCACAGCAAAGCAACAGCTGAGCCCAGAGACTGGTAAGGAAAAGGGGGTGTGAACAGGGCGGGATGTGCCCCCTCTGGTAACTGGACAGCTTGTGGGTCATGTTGCACTGGGAGGAGGTAGGTAGGTAGAGGGAAGGACACTGGGAACAGTTCCCACGTGTATCCACAGTGCCTGAGGTTTGGGCTAGCAGCCCCCAACAAGGGCTTGACATTCTCCTTTGGAGCATTGCTGGGTCTGAGCTCAGATTAGGGTAGGGATGTGGGTGATGCCATGGTGCTGGGCTGAAAGAGATGGGAAATACACCAACATTTTTCCACATAGTTTAATAGCTCAGGGCAATGGGAGGAACTAGAAGCAGCAATGGCGCAGGGTACCAGCCGGAGCCACGCTGCAGTGCACAGGGATCCCCATGTTTGGCTCTCCTTCAAACTGGGCTCTCCTCTCCATCCCTCTGGGATGAAGAGTTTGGTGTTATCCTTTAAAGATGCAACCCCAAAATACTGTCTCCCTACACTACCACTGCCTCAGGTCCACATGTCCCCCTGCTTTCCTCCTGCTCCTCTCACCTTTCCCCAGACACGTCTCCAGAAGTGCCGAGGTCCCCCAGCCCCATGAGAGACAGGCACCTCCCGAGTGCAGCCCAAAGTTTTATCCTTTCTCTGGCTCCATTGAAACTGCTCCTCCCAAAAATGACCTCAGGCTCCTGGAAACCCTGTGTGTACCCAAAGCCCCAAGGCACCGGCTGCAGCAAGAGACAGGTCCAAGTCCCAGCAAGGCTCTCCTTTCCAGCATGGTCTGTCCTGGGCTTCTGTCTTTGCTCAGTTTGCCAGAGAGGAGGGTTTGCAGGGTCCCTGACCAGCTCAGGCTGGTTGTCCCCACATAGGCTCTGAGTCACCCGGCACTGCTCAGCCACCACAGGCAGACTGGGCATTTTTCTCCAGGAACTGAATCAGCAGGGGAAAAAAATCACCTCGTCTCCAGAGGGGCTGCAGCACAGGCTTGGGGGGAAGCAGTGAGGGGGAGTTGGTAGACCCCAGCCCGCAGCCCAGCTGGCTCCCACTGCCCGATCCCTCCCTGGCAGGCCTTTTGCATGTCGGATGCACCGAGGAGGGTGTCATGGGGCTGGGAATGAGTGGGCAGACATGGGAACTGCCAGCAGGGCATTTTCACCACCCCAAATCAAGTTTCTCCAGTGATGAGACAGGCACCTTGTGGAAAAGCTTGGGGAAGCAGAGAAACTCAGACTGCAGAGACAAACCCTGGCCTGCTGCAGCCGGGGTTTTAGCTGTTTGGGCACCAACAGCTCAGGACGTGGGTGTTTCACGTGTCCCCAGACTGCTGCAGGGCAGTTCAGGCAGGCATGACACCACGGCCAGCTGTACTCAGTGCAGGGGTCCTGTAGGGCTGGAGTGGTCCAGACCCGCTCCCAGACTGGGAAACAAGCCTGAGCTCCCAGTGCTCCCAACAGGGACTCACAGCAGCCTCCACTCTCCCCTCCACAGCCAGCCTGCAGCCAGCCAGGCACTGAGCAAGTCTCATTCCGTCTCCCAGCACACCTTTCTGGCCATCGGGCCTCTATGGACATCCCTAAGCTTCAAGTGACTCAAAGTAAGGCTGCAGCTCCTCCGAGAGCATCCCTGCCCCTTGCTCAGTGCTGCTTGGGCACATGAGTTGCAGCAGCTCTCCTGGGGCTGAGCTGCTGCTTGCAACCACAGGGATTTGGGGTGCAGCCTGCAGGCAGGAAGAGATGGCCACGAATGAGGGAGGAACCCCAGCAGACAGCTTGTCCCACCGAGCATCCCCAGGCGTGCCCAGCCCAGCTTGGGGACCTGTGTGTGCAGGCTGTGACTTGTCACCTGTGGACACTGCCATCAGAGATGCTCTGCAAGGGGCCTCCTCAAAGAGAAGAAGGGAAGCTGAGAGATTGTGTCCCTTCTCTGTATTAAACCGGTCTGGTTTACTACTTGTTCACACTGGTGAGTCAGTTCTCTCTTAGCTGGCATTTGTTCCTGGAAAAAAAAAAAACATTAAAAAGAAGGAGGGAAACAAACATCCTTTAAAAAGCCCCTTTGGCTCAAAAGGAGGAAAGAATAATCAGGCAGACGTGTCCTGCGGCCCCGCCACTTGACAGCCCCCCAGCTCTGGGCAGGAGCCCCCCAGTGCTCCACAGTGCCTCTACTCCATTTCATGTTCTTCTTCCCCACATCCTGCCAGGAAAAACTGCTGAGAGGAAATCTTCTCCAGCCAAAAGCTGCCTTTCCTTCTCTCTGGACTTGCTCATGCTCTCCAGCCATCCTTCTGGCCAAAACCAAGAGCTCTCTCCACGTTCCCGTGACTCTTAGTCATCTCCAGCACAGTCAGCCATGCTCTCATCTCTTGGCCCCAAGACCTTGTCTTGCTGGTACCTTGCTAACTGCCCCCTTTGAAGAAGCCCATTCCCCTCCGGTTTGTGGAGGCACGAGGGGCACTCCTCTGCCTGGCACCTTTGCATTGCCAAGTACAGGTTCAACAGCCACTCGTGCGCAGACATTTTGGAAAAGCTCACCTCTTTCTGCCCACGTTTCACAGCCAGCGTCCCTGCCACCTCCCTGCTGATGGGGCTGCAGCTGGGTGCAGTTAAGGCAGAGCCCTCCGGCTTGCCCCAGGCAGGACCTTCCTCCCCTGTGCTTCCCAACACTGTCAGGTGGTGGCTGTAACTTCCCACCCGAGAGCTGCCATGAACTTCTGCTGCAGCCTGAGGTTACCCAGAGACAGAGCAAGGGGCACCCTGTGTCTGACACGATCTTCTAACATCTTGCTGACTTGAGCGTCCCTGGGAGAACTGTTTTGCTTCAAGCCTGCCCTCAACCCCTGGTTTAGAAGAGGTGTGGTCCAGGGGAGGGATAATGAAGTGCCTAATTACTGCTCCCAGGTGCCTGACATGTTGTCAATTAGAAAACAGCTTCAAGAAGCCTCCCCACCAGTGGGTATGGGAGCAAGGGGTCTTGCTTGAGCTCTGTAGCTGCCCTGTGGGGACAGGGTTGCTGTGAGCTGCAGGCTTGGAGGTACGGGGAGCTGAGATCTCCATGTATCCCCCAGCTGGGGACAGGGAGGGGTCTGCAGACTGGACCCCAGCATGTCTCCCTGCTGGGGAAGGCAAGCCTGCCTCTGTGTTGTGTTGGAAGTGGGGTTTGGGGGTGGTCCTGTGTGGCCTCTGCACCAGGGATTGTGTTCTTGGTTAAAACAAGCTAATTTGTTATCTTTGCAGGCCTCTTCCCACCTGGGAGCTGCCCCAGGCTGAATCATCTTTGTGGGCCTGTTGTGAGGGAGCCAGACATGTTCCTGTGTGGATCCTCAGGACCTGAAGCCAGCAGGATCTGTGGTGCCTGAGGTAGAACTTGTCCTGCTGAGGTAAAATGGAGTCCCCTGCCATCAAGGCAGGTCCCAGCCAGGCTCTCTGTGTCTCCAAGCAAGAGGAAAGAACATAGGAGCCCCTGGGGGTTTGGGTAGGCAGGGTGCATTGGGATTGTCCTGAACCCCAGCATGGTGCAGTGGCCTCAGCCAGCCCTGGGGAGCGGTCTGGGGCAGGAGGGTGGCCCCAACAGTGGGGGAGGCCTGTAGTGGGGTGTGTTGTGTGGCCCCACCTCTGCCAAGCGGCTTTGTCACCAGTGACATCTCAAAGCATTGCGCTCTCTTTTTCCCCCTTCCAGTTTCAAAAACAAACAAAAAAAGGGAATTTCTTAACTTGTGGTCAACTCAGAAAGGAGAAGCTCCTGCTGAGGGAGTGCTGGGGACGGTGCCTGTGAGGAGAGGCGCCCGCTGCTCGAGAGGATCCTCAGCCACATCCCTGCTCCACACTGGGGACACCGCGGTCCGTGGGGACATGGGTCCTGCTCTCCTGCTGCTGCTCGCTGCAGTAGGCATCTGGCACGGTAGGTCCACTGGGCTCCCAAAGCCCTCCAGTGTTTCAGTGTCATGCTGGGGCAGTTTTGGGATGCAGCAAGGGTTTCCTGGGTGTCTGATATGGGTGCTCCATCCCCCAGGCGAGGAGGGGGTGACAGCCTCGGTGGGGATGGGGATGGGACAATGCTGAAGTTGGACTAACAGGCACTTGGCTGCCAGTGGCAGAAGGTGAAGCCAGGCTCCCAAGTATGTCTGCCAAAAGCCTGCTGTGGGCTGGGATGGTGCCTGCTTCTGGAGGCTGCTGCGTGAAGCAGCCGCTGCTGTGGGTGGGTTCAAGGAGCCTCAGTACAGGTAGGGAGTGGGCAAGAGAACATGTCTGCTCCATGGCACAGCAGGGAAGAGGCATCAGCTTGGCATTTAGCGCAGACTTGGTGTATAGCAGCTTTCTGAAGACCATCCAGAGCTGGCTGTCATTATAGGAGGAGGACAGTGGTGGAAAGAGGGTGTGCTGATAGTCTGTGGTGGCTCTGGAGCCCAGTTGTGCTGAGAGCTTGCTCTTGGCTGCCTGCAGCACTGCCAGGGTAAGGCCAAGGCGTATGGAAAGGTGCATGTAGCACAGGAAGAGCCTCGGCAATAGATAGAGGGGAAAAGGAAACTTCCCGCTGTTTGGGTCTGGGTGGGGGTTAGGAGAGGGTCAGCAGAAAGCGTGTCCTGAGGGAACTTGTCTCTGAAATAACCCTTTGCCCAAATGAGACAAGAGCTGGAGATGCTTGGCCTAAAGGTGAAAGTAAGGAGAGTTGGCTGCATCGGTGCCTTCCAGTGCACCCTGTGCCTGGCTGGAGATGTCTGAGGATTGCTGGTTTCTGGTGGTGCTGGCATACACAACAGGGCTGTAGGGACAGGATGGGATGGAAACGGAACTTGGGCAGCCAGGAGGGGAAAGGTAAATATGCCTGTTTTTTAAGGCTGTAGGGATGGCCAAGAGGTGATAACCCATCAATGTCAAGAAAGAGTTGCTAAGCCTGTCTTTAGGTTTGCAACCAAACAGACAGAAACAAGTATTGCTAATCTTACATCTCAAGTGCTGGCAGCCTCTCAGATCTTGTGTGGCACTTTCTTTCATTTTCCTCTTGAGCTTGCTTGGGGACACAATGAGACTCTGGTGTGAAGTCCCCTCTGGAAGGGGGCAATCTGGGGGGAAAGCATTCAGCATGTAACAGGGTGGGTAGCATATCCCTCTGGAGCCACTGCAGTGTTGATATTTTCAGCCCAGGAAATTTGCCTCCCTTTTGCTACTGCGCTGCATGGTGTTTCACTTAAAGTCATGTCTCTGTGCTGAGCAGCCTTTTTCCAGGTCTGCTGTGCTGAGAACTGGGTTGTGAAGGCTGCAGGAGTTTTAATTTCTTATTGTTATTTTAAATAGGGACTAGGGAGATCTGGTATAGATTTGTGAGAGACCATGATATCTGCCAGGATCTCTCTGAAGGTTTCTTGAGGCATTGGGCAGTGCAGCTCACCAGCTGTGACATCGGGCACTGTCTGCCACATCAGTGTTAGACACGGTTGTCTGAGTACCAGTGCTGTTGGCCATCTGGAGCACAAAGCTGCAGCATGCCAAGGTTGTCCAAAGTAATAGCCTCAAGCTGGAGCCAGAGCCTGACTTCCTTCTCCTACCTCTTGGATTGCAGGTGCATCTTCTGAGCGTACCCAGGGCTCATGTGGTATGACCAGTGTGATTTGGGCTCTTGCTAGAGGAGTGTCTGGGGCTCTAATCCCAGCTTCAGATTAAATGGAGGAAAGATTTGAAACCTGATCAGCTCACAACTGTGTTCTTGGACATCTTGAGTGGTCTTCCTGGGGTTTCTTTTGTTTTCTTGCTGTTGTTTAGGATGAACCTAAACCTCTGAAATAGAAGCCCCAAGCAGAGATGTGATGCGTACTCTTTCCTCACGCCCTGCCCCCCAGATACTGAAGGTGTCCTCAGAAACCAAGCTTTTCCTTGTCATCATTGAGGGAGGAGCAAGGGGAACTTGGGTCTGGTATGGGTCCCTCCCAGGGCCAGGCCTTAGCCTAGCTATCCCCCAGGACTGAGTCAAGGTCCTGATGATTGGCTTCTGTGATAAGGTTCTTGAGCATCTCTGTCTTACCAGCTTTCATTTCCCCTTTCTCACCATTTCCAAACCCTCAAAGTAATGTTTTGGCTGGCATGGGAGAGACAGGGACAGTGCCTGCAGCTTTAACTAGAGGTCATGGTTACACAACCCCAGTGTGGTAAAACCTTTGGCCAGCAGTTACTGGCAATGCTGCGGAAGCTACTGGAGACCAGCAGAGAGACATCCTTGAGCTTCGTGCAAGATTGCACACTGGTCAGCAGGGAGAAAGCCTCCCCCAACAGCCCTGCTTCCCCATTCTGGAAAAGGACCCGCTGCTCTGACTCATCCCTCCACACACATGGAGTGGATGCTTGGGTGGCCTTCACTTGGCATTGTCCTGCGTTTAGCATCTCTGCCCAATCTGTCCTCACTCCACTTGTGTGGTGGTTGTGCCACTGACAGGAGTCTCCAGTGGTAGCCTGAAGGCTGCTGGCTTCTTCACTGTTGTGGAGAGCACCTACCCTGAGCATTTTCTGGCTGTAGTATCTCAGTAGTAACTGGAGGAAGATGACAACAAGGACACAGGGTGACATAACTCTTGTTTTTTCTTGTCCTCCTGCTGCAGCCAAACCAAGGACCAGTTACAAAATGGTCTTTCCCTGAGCTAGTTTGAATGCAGCTCTGAGTCAAAGAGCTTGGCTCACCCATCAAATAGTGCTGAAGCCCTGGATATGGAGGGATAGCTAAAGTGGAGAGTAGGTGAGGGGAAAAGCATCCAGTGACGGAGTTAAAGCAACAGAAGTGTGTCAAGCCCTGCTAGAAAACACAGCTTAACAAAAAGAGAGGAACACTGTGCCTCAGATATGTGGAAAATGTGGCTTTGTAAAGGATTCTGGGATATGTTTTTCTCCATTCTGGGAATAAATGAGGCTTTTCCTGTTTCCACAGAAAGATAAAAGCATCACCAAAAAAAAGAAATTGGGGAGATAAAATGTCAAATATTCCATGCTCCAAAGCTCCCTGTCCTCTGCTTCCTCCCACAGGGCCAGTGAGTTTGATTCTGGCATTGTTTGGGTTTCCCCTGGGCAACTGCTTTGTTGTAACACACCAGCAACCAGCAACACTCTCGAGAGCCTTGCATCTCATCTTCCCAACCCTTTGCATGGAGGGAGGCATCAGCCCAAGACTGCTTAAATGATTCTCTTTGAGCTCTGATGGAGCAACTCTGTTACAGCCCTGAGCGCAGCTGGTAGTGCTGGAGACATTTGTACCTCAGACATAGTCTTCCTCACAGGGAGAGCTGTGAGCAGGGGTGGATGAGGATGGGTGCGTGCTTCTTCTGCTGGCCATATTACAGGGACAGTGTCCAAGGCAGCACCCGGAAACAGATGTGCTTTAAACAGTCTTTGGTACCCACGCCCATGAGCAGCCTTCCCTTGTCTCTGTCCTGCAGCAGGCTGGCACAGTGAAGGGCTGTAATGTCTGGCCACTACTGCTCTTACCCCTGAAGGACACACAAGTGCAGCTGGACTAATGGTGCCATTATAGGGTGTCTGGCCCTCTCCCATTTCCTGATGATTAGGGTTTTTTTTATGTTCATTTGACATCTTTCAACTGAAGAGTGTCTGAGTCCAGAGCAGTCTGCTGCAGAGTTTGAAGCATCACAAGACCAAACTCAGCCCTTGTTGCTGCTGCCACCACCCCAGAGGAACACTGCCTGCAGTGACCTTCTCTACGAAGAGCAACAAATTGATAAACTAGGCAGCTACCTTTCTACTTGGGATTATTTGAACCTCTGTGTGTCCCTTTAAGATGTGAGGATGGGTTAGCAGCTGGGAAGGAAAGCAGAAGTGGAAGAATAGCCCTGGATAGGGGCTGGAGGGGGCGTGCAGAGCCCCCTGAGCACAGATAGCCATTTGCAATGTGTTTCCTGTCCTCTCTGAAGGTCTGGCATGGGGGTGGAGGTACTGCTTCTTCCCTAGCACTGCAGCACTGATTCATTTCTCACTTCCCCCCCACCCTAAATATAGGTGGTGACTCAAAGAACTCGCTGACATGGCAAAAAGGGAAAAAAATATTTCCCTCTGACACTAAGGGCTGGAGTGGGACCCTGGTTCCCCTTTATTTAGCTGGCAGAAAAACCATCTTCTAAGGTAGCATTAGAAGTCCAGCTGGGTTGTAATGCCAGTGTCAGCATGGCCTGGTGTGCTGTAGGTACAACTGCAGCTATGGGCTTTCATGAGCCATTTAGCTTTTCTGTGCCTCAGTTTCCCACCCCACATAATAATGCTGACTCACTTCATAATATTTTGATGGTATCTGCCAGGAAAACACACTGTGTGGCTCTCTGGTAAGGCATAAATAAGCATCCTTCAAAATCCACTGCCCTGAAACCAAAAAGCCAGTCTTCCCAAAAGGCATGCACTGACCTGCTCCACAGAAGCTTTCCAGGTCTGTTTCTAGCTCATCACAGCACCAATGCAAGAAAGAGAGCTCCATGCACTAGACTTGGCCTAAACTTTACCGCATGGTGTTATGGGCTAACCAAGTTTATATAGTAGCTCTAGCTCTGCCATGCTGTTGCAAGAAGAGGCAAAACAGAACAGGAATAATTTCCAAGCTAGCATCTGGCCTAATCAGCTCCAGAGGATTGTTTTTTCTGTCTCAGTGCTCTAAATGTTCACATGTGGGGTTTTCTCTCTTCCCTGAAATTCATTTGTTGGAGTATCAAGCCATATTGGTCTGGTGGGAGGGAGAACAGCCAGAGTGACGCAAGCCAAAAAGCCAGTTTGAGTCCCAAGCCCAGCCTCTTCCTGATGCTGAGCTACTCCACACTTAGCAGCATGAACTCCAACAGAGCATCTTTAGGGATCATTTTTGCACCCTCACTCTTCTTCTTTCTTTTGTAGGCTTGGCATCCCCAGTGATCAGCCCTGACGTCTCTGCTCTGGTTGTCGACACGGGCGACCCAGTCATCTTGCACTGCTCAGGAGAGTCTGAAGTTGAATGGAAAAGCCAAAAAGATATATTCAGTAACCACACCAGCAGCACGCTCAGTATTCCCAAGGCCACTTACAGGGATACGGGCACCTATAAGTGTGCTTATGTCAACAGCAGTGACAAGGATGTTGCAACTGTGCATCTGTTTGTGCGAGGTAACCATCTTTCCCTGCTAGAATCATAGAATCATTTTGGTTGGAAAAGACCTTTAAGATCATCAAGTTCAACTCTTCCTATATATGCTGATAGAATGGCCTCCTTTCAGGGAGTACGGCCATTACACAGGTCCTCTCTAAGGCTGTGGTGTGTGTGTGTTTTTGGGGGAGCAGTGCAGGCTCCTAGTGGGGCAGTGGCTCACCCACAGCCATGTAAACCCACATAAAACGGGGCCTGTGGCTGAAGCACTGGGGTAGAGTACAGAGCATCTACATCTCGTGCATATCTGCAAATGGCCTAGACCTCTACCTGCATTTACCTTGGCTTCCCTTCCTGAAAAAACAGGGATGAAAGTCTGTTCAGTGTTGTAATAAGCAGTGAGATCTGGAAATCGGAGAACTGTATTGCTAGTACTGCAGATAAGGGAGAGAGTCCCATGAATCACATCCTCACAACATGACCTGAACCACAAATATTCTTTTACCCCAGAAGAAGGGCTTTTACTTACGCTGTGGTAGGCCCACCACTTGAGTTCACCTTTTCCCTTGTACCAGAGATACTGTCCTGGACAGGGAAGCTGGAGGTCTGATAAATAAAACTAACACCATGGTGAAAAGTTTAATTAGAGGTAAGCACACTTCTCAGTGTCTCTTGCCTGCGTCCATTTGTGAGTTGATTGCTGTGCTCTCTTCAAATGCCTTAGCTGGAATTGGGCTTGTTATGTGAGTTTTTGGAGGCTGAGTCAGGCAGGCGTTGAGCAGGGCTGCCCCAACATCAAACTCCCACTGGGAAGCAATGCTGGAGACTTGCCTTTGCTGAAATGTGTTTCTCAGATTCGATGCATTTTCTGATCCCATTCTCTGGCCTATCTTTTCTCCTCCACAGATCCCAATAATGTGTGGTACACCCCAACTTTCCGGATCTTTGTGACCAAAGGTGGCAATGCTGAGCTCCCCTGTCTTATCACGGCCCCTGAGTATGGATCCAGCGTGACTCTGATAATGGATGACACCTCTCATCTCTCACCCGGGACCAACTATTCTTTCAGTACTGAGAAAGGAATAACACTCTACAATGTGCAAAGCAAGCAGAAGGGCTTTTACCGATGCCAAGCAGTGATAAATGGAAAAATAGAGAAGTCATCAAGAATAAGATTGATTGTGGAAGAAGGTAAAAGATTGGGGTTGCTGCTGTCCTCAGGGAGACAGCAATAGCTAAGCTGGCCACAGTAGATAGTTGAGGAAAAGCTCCTTACTGATGGTAGGAAAGACCTTCTGAACCTGCAGTCTTCAAAGAGTATTTAATGGAGGCAAAATTCCATCAGCTTCTGGCAAATTGGCACCTTCAGGTGGGTCTCGATGGGTTCAGCAGTGTTCAAATCTTTGCAGGCACTATCACAAGAACAGAGAAAAAAGTCCACCCACCTCCCTGATGTTCTCCAAATCCTCAGGCCCTAATGCTCAGGACATAACTGTGGCAGAAGCTTCCCCTTCTCTTTCATCCCACAGTACTGACTGCTGCGCTCTCCTCCACCTGTACTGCTTCCCACAGACACATGCACAGAAAGGAGTGATGATCCCTAGGGAAGGAGAAGGCCAGGGGTAAATAGACTGAAGAGGATGGAAAGGAGAAGGTAGTCAGGCTGTGGGGAGTCTCCAAAGCACACAGGGTCACTGGGCCAGCTGATATTGAATCTTTCCCTGCTTGCCTTTATGTAGCACTGGAGAAGCCTGTATCAGTGATGATGGACCCTATAGACCATGTGCGAATCGTGGGCGAACCTTTCAAAGTCACTTGCAGAGTAATTGCTCCTTCCCACAAGTATGACATCAGATGGGTGACAGCAGCAAAGAGCGTAAGTTGAAGTATGCAGTCTCAAGGGGGTATCAGGCTTTCCTGGAAACCAGGAGGCAGAGAGTGGCAAAAACTGTCCAGGCCCAAGTCACCTGCAGCAAATTCTTGAACTGCCCAACCAAAGCAGATATTCAAACAAGCTGTAGAAATCTGAATATGGCCATCCTTTCCCTGGGGTGACACAGGGTTAAGAAACACCTGCCTATTGTCAGGCTCTTGCTGCAAGAGAGAAGGAAAGTATGTTGTTTCAGCTGAGTTCATTGAGCAGGGAGCCACAGTACCTACTAAGGCAACATTCTTCCACCCAGCCCTGCCAGAGCTTACAGAGCAGCAAACATGTTCAGTACACACAGTTCCCCAGAGAAAAGATATGGATGAAGAAAGGGAATGCATTTCAAAATCTCTGTTGTGCTTTTAACTGCTAGATGGTTAGATAAGGTTTGCTAGAAGTCCTTATTATATCTGATACCTTTATTAAGGAGTTGAAATAACATACAAGATACGTTTGGATCACACAATGTAAGGCCAACTTGCAGTCAGAAGGCTGACAATAGCAATAACCCTGGCTGCTGTGGAATATCTGCCCTGAATACTTGGGTTTAACCTGCCTCTTGGTCTCCACACAGCTTTCAGTTACAGGGGCTCTATAACAAAGCTCAGTAGCCCAGAGCAGGAGGTGGTGGGTATGTTTGTTGCAAATACCATTCAGTTCTGTCCTCTGCCCTTCCAAGAAAGTGCCTGATGTTCCCTCCCTGCCTGACAGGTCAGGAGAACTAAAAAGCCTAGCTTTGAAAATGAGAACTACTTCATCAGCGACACACTGTCCATCCTAGCAGTGACCATGGAAGACAGTGGGAAATACACTTGTATAGCTAACAATTCAGCAGTTTTTTTTAATGCCTCGACAATGCTTCAGGTAGTAGGTGAGTGCTTCCCCAAAAGACCCGGGAAGGTGTGGGCTGAATCACACCTAGCCTTGCATATTTGCTGTTCCTGCTTCCATCTTGTTCCTAGTTTTTTTGTTAGAAACATCATTCTTGCTTGTGTCTGAAGGCTCACATGAGAACTATGGAGCTGCTAGGAAAGGAGATGGTATTCCTTTGACATCTTGAGCAGGGGGACATTTTTTTTGGATTCTGGATGATAAATTGAAAAGCTTTTCTCAATTTCTGTGTGTTTATAAACAGCTTTAAAACAAAAAAGGGGGGAGGGGGGGCAAAATTATGCTGAAGAACAGGGAAAGCTGGCTAGAAGGAAGGGTAAGCCACATGAGCGGGGTATGGATCTTTGTCCCTTCCAGTAACAGATCCACATAAGAGGATTCAGGACTATTATACAAGTTTGTATCTCAAGACAGAAGATTCATCCTTGCCGGTCATAGGCTTGGGTTTGCTGATGACCCAAAGCTGCTGCATACCATGGCTCAGAAAGATGGCTTGGTCTGAGTTGTTTCCAACAAGCAAGAAGACAGGAATTTAGCTAAGGGGCTTGTCTTCTGTGGATGATTAGGAGACAGAGTTTTAGCCTCATCACTTATTAGGATACAGCATGTAAAACCTCTTTCCCCATGTGAGTTCACTAAGATATCCTAGCTCTCCTCAGGCAGTGTGTAACCCAAGCTGCCATGATAAAGCAGCAACTTAAAAGTACTCCCTTGGCAACATTATCTATGTAATGCCTTGTTCCCTCCTGCAGTTTCTCAACTGAGGTTGCTCTTTTCAATAATGGTCCATTTATGAAGCTAGTTTAAGCATGTTTTGCGTCTCTGGGCATGTCTGCTGATGGTCATATTTTCTTGCATCCTGTAGAGAGAGGTTATGTGTTCCTGACCCCAGTGCAAGCCACCAGCCAGGAGGTTGCTTTGGGAGAGAGTCTGAAGCTGCAAGTTCACATTGAGGCTTACCCAAAACTTCTCCACTGGGGCTGGGAGCACATGAACTCCTTGAAGAACTCTGGGAGCCCCACATTCAAGAGCCAAATGATCTCTGGAAACAACTGGTATGTGCTCTCTCTCTTCTACACTGGCCATGATATGTTTCCAGCAATGATTTCCTTGAGACAGGCAGACCCCATGCTACCAGCTGACAGAAAACTTTTTGATTTTAAAGAGGGGAACTGCTCTGCCTTTCTGTCTTCTCTTTCCAGTATTAACAAACCACAGTGAGCAGGTCAAGGAGGACACCACCTCTGCCTAACTTGGCAGCCTTCTCTTCATAAAACCTTGTGGAAGTCACATTTGTAGTCTGGTTGTTCAAGTTCACACTCTCCTTGCAGGAAGAAATTGCAGGGGTGGATGAACAGTACAAAAAATTAATTCCCTTGCTGTTCCTCAGACCTGTCCCATGCTCTGCGGTCTGGAGAGTGTATGAACCAAGTGGCACTGTATGCCCCATGTCAAGAGAAGCCAGAAACATCATTATGTGGAAAAGACCTAATGGAGGGCACAGCCCTGCTCTTCCAAAGCCTACAGCCAACTGAGGTCAAAAGGAGACTGAAAGAGAATAATTCCATTTGTTGGGGAGTTTTGGCAGATTCCCCTTTCATTTTCCTAGAAACCCAAAATAATCCACAAGAGGAACTGTGGTATACGGCAAGCATGATGGCTTTAGGACAAACTCTTTCTTGCATTGGGGTTGGAGAAATGGATTGCAGGCAGGAGAGGACTAGAGACTGTGACTCTCTGGGCTATGAAATGGGAGGAATTCTGTTAACAGCAGGAGGATCAGCATCCTCTGGCCCTTCAAAGGCAATGCTTTAGATGCTGAACTCTCCTCTTTCTGAGAATTTACCCATCCATAGCCTTGCAGAAGTGTTGTGCATTTGGTGGCAAAAGGTCTTTCCTCTAAGGAAGATCAGACCCTTCCTGCTTCCCCTGAAGAAGTAAGTAGCAGATTCCCCTCATGGGCTGGGATTAGTGCTGGGAAGTGTTCACTCACTCCTGGGCACAGGAAGCAGCTGCATCTCACTGAGCAAAAACTGTGTGAGTGCTTGAGTTTCCTCAGCACACCTTTCTTTGTGGTGTTTACTCTCTCTCTCTCTGAGCAGGTATAACAACACACTCTTCCTGAATCGCCTGCAGGAAGGAGAAGGAGGTCTCTACACCTTTTATGCCCTCAACAATGAGACCAATGCATCAGTAACCTTCAGTATTTCTGTGAAATGTAAGTGCTTGGCATTGCCTGTTCTTTCAATCTGCTTGCCCTGGGCAAGTAGGGTGCTTCCAGCTCAGAGGCCACAGGACACACAGCCAAATTGCATCTGGGACCCAGCCCAAACTGATGCATAGCACAGGGGTTCCTCACATTTTATTGTTGCACACATGGAAAGTCAATCAGAGCACAAGGAATGTACTCTTCCTCTGGTCACAGAATCATTAAGGTTGGAAAAGGCCTTTAAGATCATCAAGTCCAACCATCAACCCAACACCACCATGCCCACTAAACCATGTCCTGAAGTGCCACGTCCACACATTTTTTTGAACACTTCCAGTGATGGTGACTCCACCCCCTCCCTGGGCAGCCTATTCCAATGCTTGACCACTCTCTCAGTGAAGAAATTTTTCCTAATATCTAGTCTAAACTTCCCCTGGCACAACTTGAGGCCATTTCCTCTCATTCTGTCGCAAGTTAGAATGCTGGTCATAACACTCACTATTTATCTGCCTTCCCCAACAGCTCCCCCAAGGGTCTGCAAAATCAAGGTGCCAGCCAATGACTCCAGCATCCTTCAATGCATGGCCATCGGCTACCCTGCCCCACGCATTGAGTGGTACCAGTGCCCTATTGTCTCTGGCAGGTAAGAATCTGTGATTTTGTGAAATGCCCAGGAGCTTGAGCACCTCCAAGGCGTGCGCTTGCCCTTGCTGTGCTGGCATTTGCTGAGCAGCACCACGTGGGCTTGCTCACAGGCAATATGGCAGAGCCTGTTCAGAAACAGCAACAAGGATGTTGCCCTGCTAAAAAAAGAGGTTCTTGGAGACTGTCTGAGGAGAGGGGGCAGGTACTATTCCTAAAGTCCTGAGCTTGAAGTGTTCAGCCACCTGGGGTTCATGTTCTCCCAATGCTTTTCCGAGGAACATGTGGGTCTTTTGGAGAAGTGCCTTCATGTAGGTTGCTGTGGAGCTACATCCTGGCTGGTCCTCGTCATCTTTCTGGGATCTCCACAGGTCTGAGGCTCCGCAGAGCACAGACTTACTGAGCTACAGTGTGATGAGAGGCAACTGCAGCTGCCTGGACGGAGGTGTTTGTGTCTCAGTACCGGGAAGGAACTGCCGCCACAGCTGTAGCCACACAAAAGCAGTTAAGAGACTATACAGGGCTTTAATATTCAGGGAGAGGTCTTGTAACTGGGCAGTGAATAACAGGTCTCATAGAGCTGCAACCTGAATTCCCAGTGTCTCCTCTCTAGTCTGGTACAGGCACCAATTCACTTACGAGCAACTGTGCTGCAGAGGAACACTCATTCTCTCCTCCTTGGTGTCTCTGCAGATACAACGAGGACTACAGGTTGCTACTGAACGACTCCAGTCCCCAAGTGGTGAATGTGTTGCCCTTCCGAGAGGTGGAGGTGGAGAGTGTTGTCCCATTCCAGGAGCTGGGTGCCAATTTTACCTTCTGCTGTGTGGCCATTAACAGAGAGGGGAACACTTCTGACATGCTTCACTCGCTCACCATCACCAGTAAGATACAAACTGGTAGCCTGGCAGGGTGAGGGAGAATATGGGGGCTTTGGGGGGCCCATCTTCCTATATGTATATCCCTACTGTCTTGCAAGAGAGGTGGAATAGTTTCCACAAGCCCTCTACCCTCACAGGAGGTGGGAGACTTTGGCATTTGACAGTCCTAGGATCCTTGTGGGAATTGCTGGCTGGGCATAGCCTGGTGCCAAAGGCTGAGCCACGCCATGAACACATAACTAGCCCCAGGGCGCAGCGTAGCCAGCTGTTGCTCAGCCCACTAGAGTCCAGCGGTTGCATCTTTCGAAGGGCTTATTCTTGCTGCACAGATCTTGGTCCCCAGTCAGTCTGACCTGCACTTGCTGCTGTGTGTGAAAATTCGGGGGTGTGGGGGGGAACCATTGCAGGCTTGAGATTGGCATCAAGAACTTCCCTCAGTTCCCAGCAGCTCTTTTTGCTGTCTCTGAGGCCAGCGCTAGGTTGCACTACATACGGGAGAAGCATAAGTGAGCAGAGGGCAAAATGTTCCCAGAGATGGGATTGAAACAGGAGTGTTTTATTCATCCCTGTTTTTTTTTTTTGCTCCTCCAGGAAATGTCATGGCCCCTCCAAACAACCTCTTCAGCCCCATTCTCTCCACCTGCATAGGCACATCGGTCCTGCTGCTCCTCCTACTCCTCTTCCTCCTCTACAAGTACAACCAGGTCAGATTCCATGTTGCACAGCGAGGGCTGCGGGTCCTGCCCAGCCTCAGAGACCACATGGCCTCTGCTGGCAGCCACAGGCAGGCAGCACTCAGCTTGGAGGTACCAGGCAAGCTACCTCTCTCATCTCCACTGCCTCCCAACTTCCCCCAGGAGTTTCCTGATGCAGGACAAGGCTCATGCACCAAACCCAGTGTGTTAACACTTCTCCCACCCTGGTCCTTCAGTCTTGCAGCCCAGAGGTCAATGTGGATATTCCTTAGTGCCAGACAAAGGTGCTTGTTCTGTGCTGTCAGCTGCAGCTGCTTTTGCTCTGTTGGCCATGAATCCACTGATGTAATTAAGAAGGGAGAAAAAAGTGATCTGCAACTCGTATCTACTTTTTATTCTCCTCCTTGTTTTATAAAAAGCTGTCTTTAGGGGGAAACAGGATGATGTTAGGTGTTTGTCTCCAGGAAGGTTTGGTCACTATTTTTATACAAGAACTTGCCCCATTTTCTCTTCAAGACTCATTTTCAGTATTTGGATACCTTCTCAGTTGTTTCCATAAACTGTACCAATCAGTAGCCACCCCTGCTTCATCAGTGGGTGAAAATCTCCTGTTTTTCAGCTCTTTCTTTGGCACTTTTCCTTTGACAGCCCATCAAGGCTGCAAATTTTGCAGCGGAGTTCTGATGCTGGTTGTCAGAAGATCCAGCAGAGCCCCCTCCCTAACAAGCACCTACAGCTTCACAGGCAGAGCTGTCTTTGGCCAGTAGTCCAGAGAGAGAGGTGGATGGATGTGTAAGCACAGCTCTGGAAGAGCTTTTAGGAAGGCCTTGCAAGCCCAAGAGAAGCAGTTCATGTTTATTAATAATCTTATCTATCTCAGCAATGGGTTTCTTGAGTGATGGCTGATTGCTGCAGTGCTAGGTGAATTGTGAAGCAGAAAGCGGGCAACAGCAAATACACCAAGTGCATGTGGTATTCTTTATGGGGGACCTCCACCAGAAACTCTGCTTCTTGAAGCATCCTGTCTGGGCCTTTTTGGACAGCCTGCATGGGCACAGATGAAAGAAGGCAAAAGAAATAGAAGCGGTGTGGGGGATAAAACAAACACATGCTTCGCATCAAAACTGCAGATCTGTTTGTCTCAGTTTTTGTCCCTCGTGCCTGTGCTAACCTATCTTTGAGCATCTACCCATACAGTGCATCCTTCTCTGCAGCTATCCAGGGGACGTGGTGAGGGGAAGCATTTCAGCCCACCCTTACCAATAGCTGGGACACGAGGTGATTCATCACAGCCATGGTCACTCCACCCATGCTTCTTTATGCCTGCCTTCACGGACCCTGAGACCACCTTTACCTCACTGGGGTGCAGGTCCTTGCCTGTCTCCTTGTACAGGAGCAAAGGCCCACAATACTCTTATGCCAAGCTATTTCACTGCCTTTCTCTGTATTTGTTCTTCCAGCCTTGCTCCCTAGCCCTCTCAATGTGAATGACAACAACCAGCACAAGCTGGCTACTGCTTCTGCCCACGGGCTCCAGCACTGCTTCTCTCTGCCTTGCCTGGTTACTTCTGCCATGAGATTCATGGAAAAGAGAAGAAATTCTTACTTCTCTTTCTCAATTTCTTTTTTTCCCCTGTAAGGGAAGTGCGGCTGGGCCAACTGCACCATTCTGCTGTGCTCAGCAACCCAGAGTACCAAGGAAGGAGACACAGTGGGGGCATCTCCTTCCAGCACCAGCTGGGCACTGCCAGCCACTGGTCTGGTGGGACATGCTGGTGCTCTCAGTTCTGCCATCCCAAGTGAGGGCAAAGGACTACTCTAAGAGAAAGAGGCAAGAGAGCCTCCTCAGTCATGGGTGACAACTTGGAGGGATTTTGTAACAGCAGAAGGACCAGGCTGTTGAGACAAAGCCTCTTTCACTTAGTCCAGGTTCAAAGCAAGAAATATTTGATGAGCTGAAACCTAAGTCTTCCCTCTATGTCTGCAGGGTGAGAGCTAGAGTGCATGCTAGGTCTAGGGAACCCTCAGGACTTGAGGAACATTGAGTAACTGGAGTCGCTTCCTTACAGAAACCCAAGTACCAGGTGCGGTGGAAGATCATTGAGGCCTGTGAAGGGAATAACTACATCTTTATTGATCCCACTCAGCTGCCATACAATGAAAAATGGGAGTTTCCCAGGAATAACCTCCAATTTGGTAAGAAACTTTCCTTGCTTCTGGCTTCGTGGCATGCAGCTCACCACAGAGCTGAAATGCTCTAAGAGACAGAGCCAAAGCAGCTCAGCAACATCCGAAGCTGCATCCAGATGTTACAGCAACATCCTTAACCAGGTCTTGCTGCCCTCTTCTACAGAGGAATGGCAAATGCTAGGATACAACCTCCCTCCAACCCTCAATTTCTCTGAGGAGGTTGAGAGGATCATGTCTGTCCTCTTGCATCTGCGGTCATTCCTAATACATAGAGCTGGTGAGCCCATGTTTGAACATGGCCTCTTTCATACCATCTTTGCTGACAGTAGAGTTCCCCTCAAGATGTTAACCAGTGCCTGATTATGGTTTGTCTCATCTTGTTTGGGCTTAGCAGGAATCCCCACCCGCCAGACATTCTCCTCAAGGTTGTGTGCAAGGTGTCCTGGTTTCAGCCAGGATAGAGCTGGTTTTCTTCACAGAAGCCAGTGTGAGGCTGTGTTTTGGATTTGGGATGACAAAATGTTGATAATGTGCTGATGTTTTGAGTTGTTGCTAAGTAGTCAAGGACAGTCCAGCTTCTCATGCTGGCCTGCTAGCAAGAAGGCTGGAGGTGCACAGGAAGATGGGAGGAGACACAGGCAGGACAGCTGACCCAGGCTGGCCAAAGGGATATTCCCTACCATACAACATCATGCCCAGTACATAAACTGGAGTTAGCCGGGGGGCGGAAATCGCTGCTTGGGAATGGGCTACCAATCACCAGGTGGTGAGCAATTGCTGTATTGGGTATCACTTGTTCTTGTATGTTCCTTTGTTGGTATTATTATTGTTGTTTCCCTCTCTCTCTCTGTCCTATTAAACTGTTTTTATCTCAACCCATGAGATTTTTTCCCGCAAGTGGCTGCGTGGTGCTTAGTTGCCAGCTGGGGCTAAACGATGACAGCAGGACAACTGCCCAATCTCTTTCTATAAAGCATCTTATAAGTGCATTTTTTTCCCTCTGCAGGAAAAACTCTTGGAGCAGGAGCCTTTGGAAAAGTAGTAGAAGCCACTGCTTTTGGGCTCGGCAAAGAAGATTCGGTGCTCAAAGTGGCTGTGAAGATGCTAAAGTGTAAGCCCAGAGCAACTTGCAAAGGCTGAAATCCCCCAAGCCCCTTTAGGCAGGATGTAGTGTGTGTTCACCACAGTTGTTGGTGCTCCCAGGCAGCAACATCAACATTTTTAGATGTTTCTGTGACAAGTATTGGGTGCTGGAATCATGCTGCTGTCATCTTTGTGGACATGCATGGCCAGAGGCACAGAGGACACAATTTCCTCTGTCTCATCCTTTTGTTCCATATCTCTGTCTACACCTTTTTCTGTTCTCCCCAATCATCTCTTCCTTGTCCCTCCCTCACTTCTTCACACAGCCCTTCTCCTCTTGTCTCGCAGCATCAGCAGACACAGATGAGCAGGAGGCTCTCATGTCTGAGCTGAAGATCATGAGTCACTTGGGACACCATGAGAATATTGTTAACCTGCTGGGAGCATGTACCTATGGAGGTAGGATCCCACAGCTCTGCTTCCCCCATGGACCCTGCCCGTGGCCTGCTCCTCTGAGGCTGTTACCTCTCCTCAGTCTCACGACAGAGAGAGCTGATGAGCTCAGCAGTCTTTTTTTGAACCTCTAACTTTGCAAGGGCCTGTGGGCTGGCTGTTTCCAGACATGCTTACCTGTAGCATGGGTTTTGCTGCCCCTCCCAGGGAAGGGAATCCTCAGGACAGGTCACAGTAGCATCACCTCTTAATGAACCATTTCTGCCTCTCTCCCAGGCCCAATCCTTGTCATCACTGAGTACTGTCGCTACGGAGATCTGCTGAATTTCCTGCGGAAGAAGGCTGAATCCATCATTATCCAGGATTCTGCCCTGGACACCTCTTTAGACAGTGCTGCTGATTACAAAAACGTTGACTTAGAGAAGAAATACATCCGCAGGTAAAAGCAGAGCTCTGGTGGCCACAGGGCTGAGCGATGCAGGGCCTGGGTACTTGCTGGGAGAAGTTCACAGAGGGCTGTGCTGGGGAGAGATTAAGGCCAAAGGTCTGGGGACTTGCAGGATACCAGGATGTAAAAGCCACTGGGGATGTGTGTGTTTAGACTTGGTTACAGTTCCAAGTTTTTTGAAGTCTTTGACAGTGGTCATTGGATATTCCACAATAAACCCAGGTTTCAATGCAGTCTGCCCTCCCACAATCTGGATCAGAACTTTTTGGCTTCCTGCACTGTTGGGCACATGGGTTTTTTAGGACAAGAGGCTGAACGCTCCCCATCAGCCTTGACAAAAGGGGAGCAATACTTGGAACCCCATACCACAGGGCACCTAGGTCCCCTTTCCGAATCAGCCCCAACGTTGACTTTCCTTTTGCCCTTAAGCCTTTTGCTAAGCCACGTCCTGCAGGCAGGGATGTGGTTTTTTCTCTCAGTGGATGTGGAGAAGGGCAGAAGGCACTGCTGGAGCACTAACAGCCTGCCTCCATCTCTGTTGCTTCTGACTAAGTGACAGCAGCTTTTCGAGCCAGGGTTTGGAAACGTATGTTGAAATGAGGCCTGTGTCATCATCATCATCTTCAGCGTCATCAGATTCTGCGCAAGCCAGGGGTGAGTTAAAGGCTCATTTGTGTTTTTCTGGTTTCCTTATTCTGGCCATCCTGTCTGGTTTAGCCAGGAAACCAGGATGCAGCATAACTTGTGTTACTCGCAAGGTTTGCAGCAACTCTAAACCTTCGCTTTGAATTTCAGGTAAAAGCTCAGGGGAAGATGAAACAAGGGAGGATCTCCGTCCCCTCAATCTCTCTGACCTGCTACAGTTCTCCAGCCAGGTGGCCCAGGGCATGGCCTTCCTCGCATCAAAGAACGTGAGTGCCAAGCAGACAGCTGCCCCCAGCACCCCAACTGGGAGATACCAGTCCAGCCAGCAGGCACCAGCCATCCTGTCTGCACAAGGCTCAGGATGTTTTTGGATGGGGTGGCCAAGCTCCAGCAAGCTGCTGCTGGAAAAGAGCCTCTCTGCTCCACCTGCTGGGTTCAGATGTGCCGGGCCACCAGTGACTGGTGTCCCCTCTAGAGCGTTTTGTCTCCCACAGGCCCCAAGCAGGGCAGTGTTACAGGGGGACCCCAAGGCTGTGCACCGTGGTAGGCTCAACGTTTTCTCCCCAGCTTTTACAAGATGTCAGGAACTGTGATGCGAAGATTTCTTGCATTGGCAGCTTCCTTGCTGCCCCAGAGACGAGGAACTGAAAGTGGCCGTTGAGTTGTCTGCCAGAGCTGGCTCTTTTAGAGTATCAGAGGGTAACCGTATGACTGTTTCAGAGATGAGGACACAGTGTCAACAGCCCCTGGCTCTGAGCTTCCCCCCATGGGGAAGACGCCATGTCCTTTAATCACTCATGGGGCTGTCATGAAATGTCACAATGTCTTAGCACTGCAAATGCAGTGGCTGAAAGAGAGCATGTCCTTTTATGTGACACAGTGCCTCTTGCAAGGGCTTTTCAAGCAGTATGTGTTCCCCTTGCCCCTGTAGGAGTTGTTTCAGTGACAGGCCTGGGCTGCAGGGAATTAGCTGGGACTGTTGGGGGATGTTGGCTGGGTCTCAGTTGTGGTCTCTTCTCCCCAGTGCATCCACCGTGACTTAGCAGCCAGGAATGTGCTCGTATCAGATGGACGGGTAGCCAAGATCTGTGACTTTGGCCTGGCCCGGGATATCATGAATGACTCGAACTATGTTGTAAAAGGCAATGTAAGTAATTAAAATGAGGACAAGCGAAGGTACAGGGGTGGGGTGAGGCTGGCACTGAAGGACAGGGCGTGGAGTAAGCTGCCAGCTTGTCCCAGACTGCAGGACCCTCTGCTCTTCCAGGCCCGCCTGCCGGTGAAATGGATGGCCCCAGAGAGCATCTTTGACTGCATTTACACAGTGCAGAGCGATGTGTGGTCTTACGGCATCCTTCTCTGGGAGATCTTCTCCCTTGGTAAGAAATGCAAACCTCTCGTTTTCCATGACTTACCACTGCCCTAATGTCTTTGCAGAAAAGTTTCCAAGAAAGAAAGGAGGTTGACAGAAACCTAGGATCTATCAGGGCTATAAAACACTGTTATGCTTCAGAGGGAGCATTAAAAACACTGGGTCCTGGATGACTTGCTCTAACTCAGAACTCCCTGAGAACAAGTATCACTGGCTCAGGCGATGCTCCACACTGCCTCTTCCCACCCCACAAGGGTAGAGTGTCAAAGCCTCTGATCCGAGAGCCACCTCTGCTGCCGTTTCTGTCACAGGTAAAAGTCCATATCCTGGCATGGTGGTGAACAGCAAGTTCTACAGCATGGTGAAGCAGGGATACCAGATGGCCAGGCCTGACTTCGCTCCCTTGGAAATGTGAGTGGACAACAACGGGTGACCGGGTGGCTGGAGCTGTGTCATGGGGGGTGGACAGGAAGATGGCACAGGGACCTTGATCACAGGTCTGTCTGCCCTTGAGGTTCAGGTTGGATCCTACCAGGCTGCTCCTTGCTCCTGTAGGACAGCAAGACCTGAGGCAGTCAGTTAAGAAGCTCTATCCAATATTTCCCCAGTTTATGGACAGGAAAATGGGAGAGCTCATGTTCTATGTCTACATTCCTGAACTTGGTGGATTTTTCTTTTTTTCAGTCAGCTACTTCTGACGGTAGGACTGTGAGAAGACAAGCCTGAGTAGGCTATAGGAGGGGACTGAGTTTAAGCTTAAAGGAAAAAAAGAGTACTGAAGGCGTAAAGCCCCTTGTTGATAGATTAGAGAAGGTTGCTCTATCTACTTCTGTGCTCACCTTTCCCTGGAGCACTATAAAACCACAGGTTTTACACACAAGAAGACAAGGGACTGCTCAGTACTGTGTGCCCAAAATACACAGTGCTGGAAGGAAGAGCCTGGGGGTGCAGACCTTCCAGCAGCTTTGCAGCAGCACTGTGCATCTGCCCTGTCCCTGTTTGGCTCTGCAGGTACAGAATCATGCAGGTATGCTGGAGCCTGGAGCCCACAGAGAGGCCTACCTTCGACCAGATCGGCTGCTTCATTCAGAAAGAACTGGAGGTGCGTAAAGAGCAGGTGAGGAGAAAGGGGGTTAGACATGCTTTCCCCCTCCATGAACATAGCTCCTGGACACCTTTCCTGTCTGTTGCCCTTAACTGATGGGAGTGGTTTTGTGCTGATGGAAAGTGCAGGAAGGCATCCAAATTTCCCCATGCTGAAGGGTTAAGTCACTCCCCACCATGACCAAAGGAGGCTGGATGCAGAAATATAGCTGCTTTGCAGCAACCTCTGCAGGCAGCAATAGGGGTAGTGCTACAACTAGCAGTGCAGCAGCCCTGCCCCATTCCCCTGGATTTGGTGTGCAGCTGGACAAAAGGTGCGTTGCCTTGTGACTAGCTGTCCTGCAGCTCCACAAAAGCACGGGCGTGCCTGTCCTGCCAGCTAGCCATGCTCTGGGGACACAACATGGTTGAGTTAGCATCCCCAGCTGGGCATCTGTGCAGAAACAGATGTACACAATTGAAGGGACTGAAATGCACTCTGGGGTTGCTTTTGCTTTGAAGGACTACACCAACCTCCCCTCCACTGCTGAGGAAGACAGTGGCTGTGATACCTTGGGCTGCTGTGAGGAATCCTGCGAGCAAGAGGAGAGTGGCCAGCCCCTTCTCAAGAGCAACAACTATCAGTTCTGTTAGCTGGTACCATCACCCTGGGGTAGATGCCAGTCCTGGCTCTGCAGAGCACATGGTTCTGCTCTGCCCTAGAACACAGATGCCTTCTGCTTTGGCTCTCCTCTCTGTGCTTTCTGAAGTACGAGTGTTACTGACTCCTGCACTGAAAGGACAGTGCTGGAGTGACTCAAACCTGAGACTCACCATGGGCTCCCTTAAGTCTTATCTCAAGTGTAGCATAGAGTTGTTAGGGTGATAACATGCTCCATCTGTGCAAGGTGCAGAGAGGGCCCTGTCACCTGCCTCTCCACCCCCTGGAGGCAGCTGTGGGGTCTTCAGTTTTTGTTGTTTTTTTAAAATACAAGTTGCAGCCAAGTAAGACACTTTCTAAAGTCACTCACATGACTAAACCTTGTGTTTTATGAGCACATCTTGAAATTCAAGTCCTGAAGCTGGAACTGCTCCACATACCAGCAGCAGCCCTCTTCCTTTCATCAGTCTGGCCCTGGATGATGCAGAGTGAGATATAGGTAAAGCCTCCACTTAGCATTAAATATGCATTAACCTCTCTCAAATCTACCTCCCTGCAGCTGATGCTTCTGCAGGGATTGTTTGAGTGAAGCAAGCCAAGGAGACAACCCCAGGGTTATGTGAACTTGTGCCTCAGTGACAGGACAGAAGGGCAGTTATTTCTCAGGTAAAATACAGAAGTAACCAGTGCTCTTCCACATAAGCACTGAACTCCACTCCTGGAAAGAATGGCAGCTTAGAGTGATCTGGAAGTGATCAACACAACACATATCCTACAAAACTTCTGAATTACTAAACATGTAGCAGTCACTGCCATTGTCACAATTACAGATTATGCTCTTGTACATATTTTCCTGAGTGTATTATAGTAGTACTGCTGAGGTAATTTTTTTTATAAGCTAGGGCCTACTGCCTTTAAACTTGATTTCTCATCTAGCTCTTGTTCAGGCCACAGCCACCTGGTCCTGTGTAGCTATCAGAAATAGCTAATGAACCTCTGTAGCTTCACCTGACTCAGTGGGTACATTCCAGGTACAAGCACTGACAGAGCTCAGGTGAACTACAGCAAGACAGAACTACTGTATCACTAGTGGCCTTTGTCATACTGTGAGCAATTACCTCATGGGCCACTTTGGATTATATTAAACCTGGTTTTAGGCTAACACCAAGTGATTCATTCCTCCTTACTAAATAAAAAGCTAATTATTTCTGCCAGCATTATAAAGAATAAAATAAGATGTTTAACAAAACAAGTCTCTTCCAGGGCCTTAAGCACTGTTCTCAGAGGGGAGCAGATCAGAGCACAGGTGATGTGCTGGCCCTTCCTCTCACACCCTGCAACTCTGCTCCAGTTCCTCAGACCCACTTCTCATTACCAGTTCTCAAAACCATTCAATCTTGTGTAATGCAAAAAACTTATTAAAAGCAAGATTTTAAAGCATGACCTGTCTCTAACTGGGAAAAATGAAGTAGTCACCATGTGGGGAGATAATGGGTGAGTAATTTCAATTGTGATGATGGGATGTCTGACAACAGTCACTGTTTGAGACAGGCATGTGGTGACAGTCTGGCATGGGAAAGGCAGGGTAGAGGCAGAAGGGCCCTAGTGACCACAGACTCAACTGTGCTGCAGCAGAACCTCCTGCAGCTGTGGCTTAAGATGCAGCAGGAGCTCCAGCCTAGGCTACCAAACACAGCCTGAAGAGATGTTACTGTCACCTGCTCCAGCCTCTCTCCCATGAAAGCCACCTCCAGAGCTGCCCTGTCCAGGGAACTGCAGAACAAGAGCAGGTAGACCAGGGGAGTCAACCATCTGCAGAAGTTACTTTCTTGCCACTTATAAAAACTATACCTTAGCTATAATTAGCAGGATAATTCTATTTGACACACTGGTGAGGTGGCCCAAGCAATTTCTTGCAATTTCAAGCAATCCTCTCAGAGGAGCTTGTTTCTGAGAATACCAGGCTTTTCCCCATCACCATGGCAGTGCAGACTGAAGTGCGGTATATGTGCAGTGTTTGTGCCCTTTCCCACTGCAGTCCTCCAGGTCTTGGACATAAAAAACAAGTCACGTGGCCACAGTTTCACCCCAAAAATTGGAGATAATTTATTAATCTTTATCACTGACTGATAAAAGTCACTAATGTCTCTTATAATAAGTTAATGTTCTTAACAGAAAAACCCCAAGCCATAATTACTGCATTCGCTCAGACTTAATACATTTACTTTAACAGTATGGTACTCAATAGGTTCCCCTTCACAGAAGGGAGTTTTCAGCCACACCGCAAGCCTCAATCTTCCCCAGTGCTCACTCAGACAAAATAAATTCCCTGCATGGCAACTTAGCAGTCCAGCCTCCCCCACCTCTCCTCTGAGAGTCACAGCAAACACCCATCCACCTTCACCTTCATCACCAGCAAAAGGCAGCTGGCAGCAGACAACACACATAGTTTTGCAACCGCAGCCCAAAATGTTCTTTAGACAGGCTGAAGGGGCCAGAAGTCTTGGCCCAGCTCCTCTCAAGGAGCTGATAACACAACCTAGGCAGCACAAGACCTCTAACCCACACAGCATCATGTGGACACAGGCAGGGCAAATGTGACACCTGACAGAGTGCTGAGGTGGCACACATGGATGCAGCTCTCCCTGCGCCGCCTCTGAGGGACAAATACCGAACCCTGCTTGCTCTGGTGATGCTGCATTCATTGTTTCTCCGTGATCCCACAGACAGTCTCTGTGATTCTGTTCTAGGGGCAGGACAACAGAAACTCAAGTCCTTGAACAGAATGAAACAGGGGAAAAAAAAAGCGCATCTGGGAGGACAGCAGAGAAATTTTGAGTGTCCTTCCCCTTTCCACAGCCATCACCTTACACAGTGCTCGTACAGCCCTCCAACAAGCTTGGCACCCCTGGGGCTCGCCCCATCAATTCTTACCTTAACATACAGAACACTTTTCACTCACTGTATGTTTTACCTTCTAAATTATTAGTGCTCATGTGAAGGGACAAACAATTCCAGAAACTCTCTGCAGGCAAAGCACCCACAATCCTGGACCCAGGAGCTGCAGCCTCCAAACAGGTTCCCCAGATATGGCGTGTTAAAACTGCATGGCTCCTCCTCGACTACAGACTCCTTGCAGCCAACACATCCAAGAGCTCTGCAAGATTTCCAAGCAGGAGTCAGTGTCCTAAACTCATCTATTCAGAACATTTGGGGGGAAATCTTAGTTGTCTGCCTTTCATGCCTGCATCCACAGCCCCAGCCCTGCCACCAATATGCACAAAGAAGTCAGCAAGCAAGATTCAGAATTAAAAAACCTGTGCGCTTGACCATGCATACTCTCCACTACCAGAAATGTCTCTCCCTTCTCTACTCACCAGCTGCAGGGAGCATGACATTTCGCACCACTGACCAGGGGGTCTATCACACACCTTGGGAGGCAGTTGCAGCCTTCAGCAAGGGGGGTGACAGACCCATGCTCGCAGCAGCTATCGTGACACTCTGGAAGCACACAGCTCTTTGGTCATCATTAACAGCAGTCAAAGCCACTGGCATCACACCTCCAATCTGCAAAAATAAAAACTCTCAAGCCAGACAGCTGCCCAAACCTTGCAGAAGCTGGCCTGACCCACGCATCCACATGACCAGAGAGAGAAACTAACACGCTGTTTTGTTACTCAGCAGCCTCTATCATCCTCCTGCTTCGCCTCTTCATCCTCTTCTGTTTCTGTTTTAATCTGGGCCACGCCAAGCCGGTAGAGAGCATCGCGAATTACCACCTCCCCAGGCTGGCAGCTCTGTACGATCTCCTGGATCTGCCGATTCACAATTTCCCTGCTGGTGAGGAAGTCCATGAGGCGGTTGTAGAGGTAATAGTGCGTGGCGTTCTCAAAGGTGATGGGCCTTTGGCGGATGTTGCTAGTTTTGCTGTCATTGATGGCAGCGATGATGGCGCTGTAAGGCTCCAGCTCTCGGCACAGGGAGATGCAGTGATGCCGAGCCGTTGGATCTCGGTGGCTGTTCTGCTCTGAACCCGTGTGAACAATTCGGCGTGCCGACGACTTGGTGATTGGGTGCTGAACAGAGTGCTCAGCCACAGTCACGTCTACGCTGTAGTGCTGGTCTAGCAGTTCAGGGCAGGACACATACTGGGGGAGAGGGAGAGACACACACCAGGTAGAACAAGAAGCAACTTCTGCACAGCTAAGAACAACAAGACAAAACTACCGTTCTGCTGAACTCCAACCAGCACTATGACCCAGGACAGAGGGAGGACTAACTGATTCAGGCTTTCCCTAAATGCCACAAAGGCGGTTCTGTCCACTCCCTCCTCACCTGCATGCCCTCAGAGAGAATCCCAAGGCACTAGCAACCCTCTTCCTCTCCCATCTCTCAAGTAAATAGCAGTAGTTTGAAAGAAGTGAGTTCCTGTGTCAAAATAAGCGACGTGCTCCAAGTTCATGATTTGAACTGTTACAACACACTTCCAGTGCAGCTCTTCCTATTAAGGTGCATGAGCCTAATGTAACGCCCCAAGCAACACATAACGCTTTCCGCTACGGTCAGAAGCTATGCGCTGGCAAAGCTCTGAGTCAGGAAACACTTACCACGTCAAATTATCTTCAGGCACAATGCAGGTTACATATACTTTTTCAATTTTTTTTTTAATTATTTTAAATCTCACTTAAAAATTTTCCATATCGGACTGGCATAGCAGAGTGCAAAGGTGGACATAACTAACCGTTGGAGGATCCATGGGGTCAGAGAAGCAGCCCTGGTTTCTCCCCCACATCTGGGAAGTCAGGCCAGGACAGCAGACGTCTGCACACAGTGCCACTGAAGAGGCTGTATCAACAACGTACACTGGAGGCCAGTGTCGTGAGGAAACCAACAAGTCCACGTGATCCCGGGCATTTTCTCCTCTTACTATGTACTTTGAGCCACACACAACCTGGAAAGGAAAGGGTAACACCAAACAGCACAATAAAACTGAAAACTTATGGGAAAAAATACAGTCTTAAAAAAATGAAGCTTCCTTTCAGGCATTCCAGATAATACAGTAACGAGTTACTTTCTCTGAAGATATTCTGTTTCCTCCTCATACAATTCACTTTATCTTGTTCAGGAGGAGGTGATTTTCAACTCCACCTCAGCAGCAACATCAAAACCAGGCTTCAGATCACTGGTTGATCTTGAAATCTCCTGCAGGACTGCTCATACTCCAAGCCCCCAAGGCAGAGTGTTTCAGAGGTTCAGAGAGGCCCACTCCATTGCTTCTATTTAATGAGGCAGTTCCACACTGGTAAGTCAGGTAATAGTGAATAGGAAGGTAAGAAAAAACATTGCTGACTCCAGTCTTCCTTACCTGATGTGGACACACTTTGTAGATTTTCCCCCCTGTGTGATGAGCAGAAGCTTGTGTGATGCTTATCCCATTCTGTACAAACTCATAGAGAGCCAGGAGGGAGTAGCAGAGTTGGTCCTGGAAAAGACAGGGCCCACAGAAAGTCTGTACATGGCTAAAACTAATGGACTCCTCCAGAGAGGGAGAAGTCTGCAGGCAAGATCTCCCAAATCCTAATTTGCACTTCATCCAGTAACTTCCTCATCCCACACTCAGCACCATGAGGATGACAAGCAATTACATGACATTGAGCTTGTGACAAGGTAATTACAGGCTTCCTTTCTTCTAGCCCACAAAGGTTCAATTCATCTCACCATGTGTAAGTTATCCTATAATCTGCAGGCACTCACTTCTAACCCACCCCTGCCCTTAGTGCAGTCAGATGAGAAGTTAATTAGGTAGGATGGCAAGTGTGAATGAAGGAAAGACAGTGAAGAAAAACTCCACTCCTGCAGGCTTGTATGTGGGCAAAACAACCCATTACCTTTGTGTCTGAAGCCTCCCAGGGGATGCCACACTGTGTCAGAAATCTCTGCAGCTCTTCCTCATTGTAAGAGCTTATCAGCTCAAGCCTGAAGTTTTCTTCCTGAAGGAGCCTCACCAAGGCACTCCCATTACCTGCAAAGGCAGGAAACAAGCCTCAGCATTCATTCTCAGGAAGGGAAGTCACCAAAATAATTTCTTCTGAAGACTACAGCAGCAGAAACTGCACAACCAACTGGCAGGAAGAGAAAGCCATGACTAGTCCTATTTCCAAAGCACGTCACTGCCCACACTTCTCTTGAACCCTTCACTAGTGAGGTCACCAGGCTGAGCGCAGCAGAGCTGCAGACTCCATGTGCACTTATCTCTCCTGTCGTTTGTAACCTTTAAATGACTGGTTGGACTGACATGAGGATGAACAAGTGAAAGAAGAGCACAGAGAAATGTGACTGCAGCCTTCGGACTGAGCAGCTCCAGGCTTACCCTTCACACCTCCTCTCTGGTTCTTTCTCTGGAGCTCCACTTTCATAAAGCCCATGTAGCCCTTCTGCAGCTCAACTCTCCAAAACAGCTGCAGCCCTGCCTGCAAAGCCAACTCATACACTTGTTAAGTTTGCAAACCCAGTTTTCCTTCTCATACCTAATACCTAAACTTTTAAGGGAACCAGGTGCTAACTTAGTTCTCATACATCTGAGCTTATTCATCTCATGGTTTCTTGTTACATGCAGTCAATGCCCTGGATATACTGAATGTTGACAACACTAATCAGAACTGATACCTCCATCTCCCAGTCTTTTTTCAAGTTCTGTAAAAACTTTATTGGCATTGTGATATTGAGATACCAAGCCCTGTCCCAGCTTCCTACCAGTTTAACATGGAACAAATAACTGACTGGCATTCAAGTTGTGCATGCACCCCTCTGCTATCAGGCCATACCTAATTTGGGGTGCAGTGTTTTCATGTCCCCCATGTCTCAAGTGTATCAGAGCACACAAGTGCATTCAAACTTCACTGGACAGGCCAAACCTCAAACTCCTAAGTATCCTGAGAACAGCTGAACTCACCCCAGCGTTCTTGTGTTCTCTCAGCAGACATAGTGTTTAAGGAGTCATGCAATCATCGATTCTCAACTCTAAACATCACCAAAAGACTGGAGTCACTGTCACATAAAGCATTCCCCTAATAAGCACAACCTCAGCAGTTACCTGGCACTGGCTGTGCATCCAGGTTCTTGTCCTTCTCAGTATTGATCACCATCGCTCCTCTCATCAGTGGAGGGAAGAAAGGAGCAACAATAGAGGCATCAAACTTTGTGATGGGGATGTTAGAAGGAAAAGCCACCTGCTCAATCACCTCTGTCTCCATCGTGGACCAGAAATCTTCAACATTCACTTCACTTGACGGCAAGAATTCTGGCCAAGTAAACTAGAAAGAGCAAGAAACACACTGGTCAAATACAAATAACCATAGTTCATTTGACCATTTTGCGTCAGCCTCACTCAAGGCATGAGGACTACCCAGAGGAGTGCTCAGCCCAAATACAAAAAAATGACTTCAGACTCCTAGAGTTCTCCACAATCACTTTTCTTGGGGTGAGAGTCAAAACAATTTATGTGACATAAAAGCCAGACACACTGCATATTGCTAGTAGAGCTTTTTTTTTTTTCCCCAACAGCAGGTTCCTTGAGGTGCTGTCTTCTCTAACAGGGGAAAAAAGAATGCCTTCTCCAAGGAAAAAGGCCAAATTTAGAAACTTTCATCCAAGGTCCATACTGTCAGAGGCTGCTGGACAAAAGCTGTGGTCCAGGGACAAAGGATCTTGTTTTCCCCAAACCATACATCAACACCTCTAAGAGGAAGTGCAGGCATCACCACTCCAGCCACATCCTCTTACCAGGCATCAGCAGAAAACTGCTCACAAAGGTCTCATGTAATTATCGTGCATTACAAAGACTAGAGTCAGCAAAAGTCATTATGATCTGCTTTGAACACAAACAGGATGTGAAGTTTGTGAAAAGCCTACCTCTGTATTTTTCAGTGCCAGGACATTTTCCACATTCCTCTGGGCTATTTCCACCTTGGGGGTTATGCCACAGATTCCACAGATCATATCATTGTAATCCCGGACTGTTAGGCATTCAAAGGCCCAGTAGCCATTGCTCAGCAGTTCCTGGAGCTGAACCTGCTCATCAGGGCTCAGGCTTTTTCCTGAAAAGAGAACATGCCACTGTTACAGCTTTCACTTCCTGAAGTCAGTGGAGAGGTAGTAGAACTCTCCTACGCAGAATAAAAACAAACCTGTCCTCCAGAGAACTGTTACAAAGAACTGCCACAGAGGTATTGTTGGCTTTAGGAAGTGATGTAACAGAAACACACCATGCTAGAATATGAGAGTTCTGCCTTTTTAAAACCTAACAATCAACAGCAGGTCACAGATTGGTGCAAGTGTTATGGTAAAAAACAAGAAGGAAAACCCACCAGTTTGCTCCTGAACAGAGTCGAGAATATTGCCAACAGCCACTCTGGGATCCTCTCCAAGTTTAATGTGGTTTCGGATTGCAAACAGAAGATCCAAGCTCACCAGCAACTTGTTACCCACATTGAAAAGGCCTGGAGTTAAAACAAGACAGTTATTGTCTGTAGGGATCCAGATCTTCCTCACAAGAAATATATTCCTTACTGATACACAACATACTCATGCAAGTATGGGTCAGAGGATAATGGAAACATGTGGATAATGCTTCTGGGACTGTTCCCTCTACTAGCTCCTTTCACAGCCTTTTAAATTTAAAAAAGGCTAGAAGCAACAGCAGCCAATCCATCTCCTCAGCTCCATGCTGCCTTGCAGGAGGCCCACAGTAACTGCCACTCAAGTCTCACTAGTCAACACTGAGAAACAGCACTTGGCAGAGACGTCTTTGCCTATGAACTCAGGGGCTGCCTTGCAGAACTCAACATTTACCACTTACACAGAGAACTACGCTGGTGAAGCAAGGCACAGTCTTTCTCATCAAAGCATTCACATGTTTTTCTCACAAATACAGATTTACTTGCAGAAGCACCAGAACAGTGCAAGTCAAAAATAATTCAGGTTTAATATGCTGAGACAGAGAATAAGCTTTTCTGTGCAAAGACAATGACCTGATACAGTTCCAAGGCTTCTGAAGGGTTTAGACTGTAGTCATGCCTTACGTTGGTATGCTCACATTTTTCCTACCTGTGTAAATATCAGTGAAGCTATGGAGGGCCAGACACTGTAGGTTCAAGCACACTTTGACCTGAGCTGTAACCACCTGTAATCTATTAGCGGTCAGCAGCCAGCACTCCTGAGGACCAGCAAGGGAACTGTAATGGATAACAAAAGACCACTCAGTCAAGCTAACAGGTTTTTCAGTCCAGTCCTGCAGTAACTTAAAATGTTCTAGTTGAGATCAGTTCATTAGTACATCAGCCTAAGCCAGTTCACCTAATTTTAAAATGTAATTTTTTTTTCTGGTGTGAAATGGATTCCCCCGGCAGTCAGGTCACTGCTCACATTTTAACAGCACTACAGCAGCTCTCCAGCCCCATTCACTGGGCACATAGCATTTGAGAGGTAAAAATCTATGGCCCCAGCTGCCCTGGGAGAAGTGTCAGCCCTATTGCTGTGGGGCAACAAATGGTGACAACACATTCTACCTAACAGCCTGTCCCTGCACACACAAAGATTCAGAAAGACCTGCTCCTCTCCCATACAGTTGCCAAGGAGGAAGTTCAGATAGGAAAATTTCAGTTGCGCCCTAAGAGGCAGAAATATAGCTGTCCACCTCAGAAAATAAGAATCAAAGTCAAAGCTAGCTCCCTCCCACTGGCAGGGGTTTAATTAGAGCCTATGCAGGCACATGTGAGAGTCCCACATGCAGAGCATTGCAAAGCAGCCCAGCATTGAAGCAAGTATTTACAATGCACAGGTTGGTAAGTCACAAGGTGATGGAGAGGGTGGAAGACAGCACTGTTCTGCAAAAATTACTGAGTATAAAAAGTTCCTCTTCTGGAAAAAAATCTCAATTAGTACTAGACCGACCAAAGCAAACACCCTTAATTGGTATCAAGAAAATCTTTAGTTGAAGAAAGAAACACAGCAGTAAGCTACCCGACATTTTGCTGTGGGAAACATTTCAGCTGAGGCATTTGGCAACAGGAGGATGTTAGGCAGACTTAGTGAGGAGATATCCTGTGGGCTTTTATACAAATCTAGTAAGGTAATCTAGCCTATACACCGGTAATTTCTGAAAGTGCTTCAAGTTTCAATTTGGATATTTGTTCCAAAAAAGGATTCACTCAAGCCCACGCTAAGCCATGAAAAGAACAAAAACATCATAAGCAAAAAGATCCACACTAGGAATATTCCAATCAGGAAGAGAGAGAAAAGAGAAGTCACATAATGCACATATATAATTCCACAACTTTGCGTCGGTCAGCCTCAAAACACCAAACTGGAAAACAAAGAAGGGATGACTAATGAAAAGATTTCATTTCACAAAAAAAAAACAAACACCCTACATCCAGACTTAGCAGCTCTTCTGCTGTATGGAAATGGTAACTATGACAAAACTAGACTGCACAGGAGAAACAGCTTATCACTAACCAGCTAAACCCCTTCCACACACATGTTGCTTATTCAGCATCACTTACACCAGTTTCAGTACCAGGAGCTAAAGCAAATATTATTTCAGGCACTCTTTTAACACAGGATATCAGCGCGAGGTTGAAAGAGTCACAAGTCTAAAACAGAGTCTTACTTCTGTCCCCCTTTGAACAATGGGCTGTTACAGAGGAGGCACTGCGTAGATGGAGACTCATAGTAGTTTGACCAGGAGGTCTGTTCTATGGTGACTGTCTCCTCACTCACGTTGGACAGGATGAGCCGTGAGCTGTTGAGTTCATGGATGAGCGTGAAGACCTCAGCCAGTTCTGATTCATTCTCTGGGATCTGCATTACCTTGCGCAGCAACTGCAGGGTGGATTGACGTTGGATCTCTTTCTGGGATGGCGTTAGGGGCTCATTGGTGTTCAACACAGACTGACCTGGACTGACCTCCTAGAAAGCAAGTCAAACGCTCAAATATTCAACTAGGCAAGCACAGGGATGAACATGCACAGTAAACACAATAACCTTTGTACCCCATGGACTTGACCTCCACTCCACTGCTCAATCATTGACCCCAGACAGTAGCTTCAAGTCTAAGTAACTTCACCAAAAATACTTTATTACAGCCCCGCCTTTCAGGAACTCCTATAATACTGCTAGACCATCACAGATTTGCCACTAAACTGAAGTGTTAGTGCAGAGATGAAGGATCAAGAGGGTGAGGACAACCATCAATAGGTACATAAACATGTCAATAATCCTGGCAATCGTCACTGCCTTTCACCATAGGTTATCCAGCACATTCTCCTGTATAACATGCTCCAACAGCCATGGCAGTCTGCACAGCTCTGCAGAAGCTAGAGGAAACAAGTGCTAAATGTGAACTAGGGGCTGTGATGTACAGAATGCACTAATCAATTACAAGTGATCAACTACAGTCCTTAGACATACACCCCCCAACATACATATGCTATCAAGACAAAATGCACAAGCACGGGAGAATGAAACTCTAGGTGGCTCAGAAGAACACAAACAGGCTCATCTGTTTAATCACTTAAACTCTTCTGCCAACATTTCAACCTGTTTTTCTGTCTAATTTACCAATGAGATAAATGATCAGTCCAAAAGTGCAGCGGCAACAATGAACGGTGTGATAGGAATGTTAAACAGATCTAGAAGCAGAAAATAAGAAAAAACTAAATGCGGAAGAGACAAGCCACACAGCTTGCATTTTAGAGGCAAGCACACTGCCTCTTCCTTACACAGCTGCTTATGTTTGAGTTTCACACAGGCCATTTCAGTTTGTTTGTTTTTTTAAAAAACCCTACACAAAGTTATGTTCTTCAAAATAAAAAAGACAAGTGGAAGAGTCATATTACCACACAGACGAAAATGTAGCCTGTCTATATGCTGAGTGAGCATGTCAGCTAAGAACAGGACAGCTTTTTTTTTTTTTTTAAAAACAAAACAATTCTGTATGAGAAAAGCTAACCTTTGAAAATTCAAATGCAAAAAAATCCCATGCAAACAAAACCCAGAATACATTATTTACATCCATGTAGAACAGCAGACAACTGAAAAACATCTTTTTACAACAGAAAAAAATACTACATCCAGAAATAAATTCAGGCTGGAAGTAAAGCTGCACTACAAACCCCTAAAAATAGGAAGGTCTAATACAAGATTTGCCAATTCAACTGATATTAGCCACAAACTGGTCACAAAGCAGAGCGTACTTGGGAGTTTCTTGATGGAAATCTGAAGTTCAACAAAGCTGACACAACAAATGTGACTTTAGGGGTGATTTCCCCAGCATGTACTGACACATTGTAAGCATTTTTAAGCTACAGAGACATCCAGTGGTAGAACTGAGTGCACTCAGTCTCATTCGCAGCCTGAAGCACCACTGTTGCAGCATTTGGACAGTAAAAACATCATCATAAGTCTTTTCAACAGGACATTATTCTGTTAGAAAAGCTTACCAGAATGAAAAAAAAAAAGAAAAATTAAATGTTCCCACAGGCGCTTGCAAATTAAGGTACTTCCCTGCCCACCCCACAATAGCCATTTGGTAAGACAAACTATTCTGAACCTTACCAGGGATTTTGCTGTTTTCTCAGCTCTGTCTTTGGCAAGATTGTATCCGCAGCTTGGACAGATTCGTGGTTTGTGCCTGTTTGTATACACGTAACTACAAGAGGGGTTCTTGCATTTCCCTCTGCCACGTGATGTTGCCAATCCTAAATCCTGAATGACACGACAAAGACGTTTGCTGACCTTGACTTTTAGATGCCAACAAGAGTCTAGAAAAGTCTGCTTGAGTATCATATGCTTTTTCGCCACTTTGTAACACCTCATTTAAAGGTCAAATAGCAGGCCCTGTCACTTCACAGAGTATTTTCACTGGCACTCAAACATTTTGGCGCCAGTTCCAGAGACCACAAGCACTCACACATTAAACTCATTCAGAAACCGCTGATCCTCCGTGCTAAACTCACGGAAGGGACGGGGATTATGCTAGGACATGAAGAAAACTCCAGTTCTTAGCAAGGTCCCAAACATGACTGCAACAGAGTAGAGTCACCCTGAATTAGGTCAACAGATGACATAAAGTACAGATTGTCTCACATTAAATACAAGATACATTTCTGCAGGTCAGTAAAACAAAAGTCACAGAACCATCTCATCCCAGAGATGACACTCCCCACAGCATAAGTCAGATCATCTGGAAAATTCTCACCAAAGTTACGGTGCAGCTGTACTTGTAGGAAGGGAATATGTCTGGTTTGACCTCCACTACTTTAACCTGAGATGCCCTGCTGGTCAAAGCACTGTGGAGCTAAAGATTGAAAGCAGAAAAAACACCCATGAGACACCTACTACTGAATACGTACATCCTGTAAGCAATCCTATTAGCACTTTTTACCCCCAAGAAACCAATTAATGTTCATTTAATATCAGAGGACTACAAGGCATTGTTTTGCATACTAAGGTATTACAATTCAAACAGAAGTATTCCAGCATCTTGGCATACTCTGTCACATTTCACAGGTGAAAGACTCAGTACTGCATGTCAGATTATCAGAGCACTAGCAGATCCTCAAAACGTCTTCTGGAAGTAGCTGGGAGGTTCTCAAAGCAGCCAACAGAAGGACTGTGCAACAGCATCTCTCAGGTCAATTCCTACATTCAGCCATCTAGCATTCATGCTGCTTCCAAGCCATGCCATAAAAACTGTCACAGATCTCATCATCATAAGGCTGCTACATTTTTATCTTCTATTTCTCAACACACAGGTCATATCCCTCATGTGGGGGAAAAAAATCCACAGGAAATAACATGCATTTGAAGAACAAAACATAGGTACCTTTCGCTCCTCAGCACTCGGTGGCTGCAGAATTGACTGGCCCAATTGTTTCAGTGTACTGGGCTTCAGGCCTGATGTTCTCACAGGGGAATGCTTGTCTTGGAGGAAAAGGATGCAGCAGGTTAGATATGAGAAAACAGGTCCTGTTCCATCTTTAGTAAATTCCACCATAGTCATGTGAGATTTTTCCTCTGAACTTGAAATGACCCAAGCAGGTGTTTCATGTCCCACTTACCTGCATTCTCAGCTAGAGAGAGAGAGAGTAGGTTTTTTTCTAGGGTAGGTCACTATCTCCCTTCAAGCATATCTTATTCTTTGACAGAGACCACTTCAACTTCAATGTGTTGAGGAAAGATAACCACTCCCAAAGCATACCAGAGAATACTGCTTTTACCGGTATTTGCAAAGGCCTGTCTGTTGCTAGGCTGCTCAGTGCTGGCTTCTCTCCCCACACTGGCTGGTGCAGGCAGAATGGCTCGCATGGGTCTTGCTGCTGCCAGCAAAGAGGGCTTAGGTCTTGATTTAGCCTTTACATCTTGTCCTTTGTGTGTAGCAGCTGGAGCATCAATTCTGAAAGACAAGAGCTACAATTGGAAAAGAATTCCATGGTTCCCCCCTCAGCCTCAATTTTCTCCTCTTCCCTGAACTGTGCTTTATTAGCACAATAATCACAGCTATGGTATGCTGTGATATGCTAAGGATACATCCGCCCTGTGACAACAATTTGTCATTTTTTAAAAAAATTAGCTCTGATGGACAAAACGATCCAAAAGGAACAATCCTGAACGGGCAGAAAACAGACAGTAAACAGAACAGGTCTTACAGGAAGCACTGCCAACAGCCTTCAATTTCTTGGATTAGTCCTATCAGCACACAACAGACATCATACGCTCCCGTAACGTATGGAAAACTGGCTCACCCCATTGGCTTTTTTGCAGAGGCATTTGGACTCGGCACCTCAGAGGATGGTGGCATCCCCAGCCCTACGCTATCTTTCTCTGCCTGCTCTGAAGAAGAGTCTCCTTGCCGTTTGCTCTCTTGACCCAGCATCACTCCAACAGCACTCCCTCTGTCTTCAGCAAGCACATCGTTCGCAAGAACATGAGCCTCAGAGACGATCACTTCCTCCCACTCTGTCTCCTGCGTTTGCCCTCCAACAGGCACAGCATTCAGCAGCTGGCTGACAGCTTCAGAGCTTTCCAAGGCAGACTTGGAGGTACTCTCGCTAACAGCTGCTGGTTCTGTGAATACTGACTGTTGACCTCTTTTAGCTGCCGGAGGTTTAAGAGGGGTGCCTGAATTTGGCTCAGATTTGCTTTTTGGTTGCTTTTCCTGGAAACAAAGAGACAGTCACATTTTAGAGCTTTAGGCTTTCACAGATAAGTAAGTTCGCTTCACGTATGCCAGGTTTGCCATGGCCTATTTAATGCTGGAACAAAACAGCAAAATCCTAAGTGTTTAAGCAGTGAATTGTACAAGAGAAAGACATCATCTCCTACGACAGCAAAGTCCCTGTTAACTTTTTATCTAGCCTCCTAGCCCTTCATGTATTATTTTTAGACATTGTTTACTTTGAAGAATCAATCTTTCTTAAACTTCCCCAAATATCACCATTAGCATCAACTCACCCACCACCCTCCGAAACAAGGACCCACCACCTACGCTCCCCTTTCATAGCTTCAGCTCTCTGACGCTGTCTGTTCTTCCACATTATTGAGGAACCAAAGGGATAGAGAACTTGTATCTTTTAGACATATGCATTCAGAAAAGCATGCGTTTCAGCAAGTCAGGAAACACAGAATTACTCAGGAAGGTTTTTTTACTGTAAGAAAAATGTTACCTTAAAGACTAAGGCTACAGAAGCCATGTATTGGGGTCAACGAAGGTACGATGGAACACTGAACCAGTAATATCCAAGAAGGTATCAGAAATGGAATCAAGAGTTTCTGGCATGATAAACAGAATTCTAAGCTCTCTACAGAGTTCATACTGGGAAGGATAATCTAGGTTTTTAAAAACAGACATCTTCTAACCTAGTCCCTTTTCTAAGGAACAGGAAGGTGTATATATATATTTAATTTCAGTTCTACTGATGTTATCACCAGTTAAAATAAAACTGCTGGCGCATGTTTTTTCCAAGGCATGATACCATAAAACAAGTGGAACTGTTTATGTAAACATGTTCCCAGAAGAGCAGAACAAAACTGAAAGCCAGAAAGCAAAGTCCCTCTACAACCTTTCAGTTCCAATCAATGTAGGATTTAACAGGAGCAGGCATGCCATATTCAGGCAGAAACATGTTTTTGCAGTTAGCCATCTACTTCAGCAGGTTTACAGAAGAAAAGCTAAGAAGCCATCATCACTATTTGTATCCTACCACATAAGAAACCTAGCCATCAGCTCAGAAACTACAGAGTTTGTAAGCTGCCTAAAAATGTTCTTGCCCTTAAGTGCTTAATGGATCTAGACACAGAACAAATGGATGGATCTAGAACACATTCACATAAAGTCACTGAATGCCAATGCAAATTTCCGCACTGAGAATATCTTTTAACTTGTGCCTGAAGAGCTTTGTTTCAGACAGAAATTTAATGAATGCACATCTGTTCAGAGCTGGCTAATTACCATGACATGGCCAAGGTTTAAGGAGCAAGTATTTTTTTCCTGTATATAGCTAGAAGAGATACCTACTCTACTTAAGTTGTTGGCATCATGTGGAGAAAGACTTTGCCATTCAAACTTCACAACTCTACCAACACCTGGGTATTTCCTTCTAGTCAATGGTCAGATCATCATGAACGATCAGACACAGCCATGAGTCAACAATACCCAACAGAACTTCAGCTTCCACTAGATCAACTTTATTAGCTAGCTCCCAAAGGATCATATAGCTGCTACAGCTGAGAATTGTTCCTCCTTTCTGTTGAAAAAAGACCACAGAATGTGGAAAGACCACATGTTGGAATGACATGTTGAAAGACCACAGAAAACTTCAATTTGTAGAAGAATGTCAAACACAGACAAATTACCACAAAACAAATGGTTCAACCAAATCCCTAAGCTTAGCTAGGACTGTAGCAGGAGGAACAGGCAATGCCTTCCTCGTAGTCACAGGAACTATAACACAGGCAGAGGGCCAGAAGAGTATGTGACCTTGCAATGAGAGCGCGTTACCAAATGCAGCCCCATCTATTCTGACACCCACCATTACAAGTGGCATCTTTGCCCAAGGTACGGTGATTTCAGGTCTGTCTCACCTTGGCCAACTGTCCTCTGCAATGGTGACTTGCTCCAGCACAGGCATTGGAACACAAGTGCAGGGATCAATTATGGCATATCTGACCTCCTGTGCTAGATTTACAGGTCTAGAAATATCACAGGCATTCACAAAACCAGCACTTTTTGTCTGAAAATAAGGGAAGGAAAGGCAAATTTACCTTTGGGATCCATTTCCCTCCCAGGAAGTTCCCACACGTTGGGCATTTTGGTGGCTTATGCCTGGTGACGTAAGTGAAGGAACAGCCAGGATTGGTGCAATTTCCATGTCCCCTGCGAGTGTAGGTGGTTGTCTAAAACGAGAGTTGTCAAGAATTTCTCTACAAAGCTGAAAAAACAAAAGCTGTGCTTATCACTTCCTTTTTCCTCATAAGCACTTTGCAAACGTCATTCAGCACATCACCAGCCCTCCACTATTATTCCTTTTACTGATCAATCACCACACAGGGATCAGAGTGAGTCAGTACCTTAATTACTCTGAGTCTAAATGTTCAGTCTATACAAGAGCCTTCAGTATTACCAGAATTTAGATCAAATTCATTCAGAGATGAACAACGCATATAATCTACTGGAGAAGCTAACCGTGTATTTACAGTGATGTAACAGTTTTATTATGACTTTTTCATATTCATAAGAAGATGGTATAAAAATTATTCCAACAGCAGTCCACAGTGAGGCAAGATCTGATTAATAGACTCATGCCAATGGGGCAACAAAACTTAAAGACAAGCACTCATGATCCAGAGGCAGTTTTACAACAACAGTAATTTGTTGTCGTATGCAGCAGTCAAGTACTCCCTGCTGCTTTACTGTAATTTGCTATAAATTACTGTAACACCAACAGCACCACCAGGCGCTATTTATAAAGACAACTAAAGCAGAACCTGTCACCTTTGCCAGGACAACTGCATCAACACATTGAGTTTTTGTCAGGGCAGCACTTCTCAATATTCTTTACTCAACACTCCGGAGGGAGCTGTTGTGCTCTAAGTCCCCAGTAGGTACATTTTTTTCTCGAAATGCACGTGCTGCTGTCAAAGAAATCGGACAATCTAAGCTAGGCACTTCTCCTCAGGCACACAAACCTAAGGTATTTCCATTCTCCCTAAGACACCTGGAAGAATATCAAGCTGTGCACCACTATAAATATCTGCAGTGTTTCACCAGCTAGACGCACAGAGGACCTGGAAAACAGGATTTGATGCTAGCTTATACAACACTAGGAGCTGCAGTGCTGACTGTGCAACAAAGACCTACAACGGCTACAAAAATACAGGTGGCTGGAGTGGTTAGATTAGAGAAATAACACTATTCTTCCTCATGTAACAGGCCACACAACCTTTTACATGAGTTCTCAAAACCTTATGTCACTGCTCCTCTCCTGTCACGTGGACAAAGTGACGGCCATCCACAAGACTGGGGAGCTCACATGTTCCTGTCACAAGAGCAGATTCTTGCCCTTAAAGGGATGGACGCTGGTATTTTATGAAGACAAATATGCATCCAAGTAGAGGACATAGATGGCTACACAAACCCTGAAAGGGGCAACACTGAAACTGCTATTGGCCAGGTGGGTTGTGATAGCATTATCTACTCCACCTGTTTCCAAGAACTCCTCAAGGAAGAAGGTAGCAGGAACAGGCCGTATAAGACACTCTAGGAAGTCAGAGACTCCCATTAGCATACACAAGGCATGCAACCAGGGACAAGAAACATATCAACTGACATGATGACTCCAAATTGGAGTATCTTTTAAGAACTGGACCATGAACAAACCCTTCATACTCCCAACACCTTTAAGACAAACCTATGCTAATATATCCATACCTTAAAACACCATACAAGTCTCTGAATTTCTTACCAATTTAATTGATGCTGGGTTGTCCACAACAGAATGAGCTGGCAAGGGTAACATAATAAACTGTGTAGCAGGTGCGGAGGAGCTACTCTCTTCAGCATCCTAAAACGAAGTCAAAAGGAAAATACATGCAGAAAACGACAGACATGGTGACCTGTGTCCCACCCTCTCATTAACAGTACCACTGAGCATATGTCTTAAGGACTGATGAGACCAGAAAGCAGGAAAGAAGAGCAATCATTTCAAAAGCAATGGCCTTACCAGGTCTACTCTGGAAATTACCAAACTCTTCACAGCTTGAAACTGAAAACAGCAGATCCAATCCTTCACAGAATAAGGTTTTCTATAACTAATCCCTAACACCTCAACCTAAAAGGACTCCCTTCTACCTCTCTACAACCAACAAAATAGCTATAAGGAGCACAGAAGTAACATTTTTTCTCCCCAAAATCTTGTAGTCCAACTGCAGAACACACCCCAAGTATTGTTATAGGAAATAATTTTAAAAACCTCAAGCGGTCATCTTAAGACACAAGTGATACCAGCATATGGCAGAGTCAATCTGCAAGCAAACACATTGTAATCACTGACTTACAAAAGTTACTGTTTCCCTCATCACAGAGCCTAAGCACGCTGGGCAATACAGGATGTCCTGCAGCCACCAAGGTTCTCAAGTAAAATGTTTTAAACAGCATTTTGTTTTAATGTTTCAAATCAGACATTTCAGGTGAGACGCTGACAGGAGTCTGAGTGTCACTTGAAAAACTTACCCTCCCAGTCACCACGGTCACCACAGACACACCATCCGAAACCTGAGGACGGGCCACAGCAATGCTCCCATTGGAGATGTCTGTGGAGCTGCTAACTAGAGTCTCTTCAATAACTACCTGAGCTGTCTGATACGGTTGCCCTTCTATTTCCAAAGCAGCCTCATCCAAGAGGATATCTCCAGCCACTTTCTCTGTCACAGGCCCAACATAGTGAGAAAGAACCTCTGATGCAACCACTTCTTCCACAGCATCTGGCTGACCAAAGGAAGCAGTCTCTTCTGCCAGTCCTTCAATGGCAATGCATTGCTCAGAAATGCCAACATGGCTCGAGTCCACAGAAAGGATGTTCTGCACAGCATCACGGGAGACATTTGTGATATTAGTGGAAGCCGTTAAACCTTCAGACGGTGCCCGACCCTGCGTCACACACAATTCAAGCGACTGCCTGCTCCTGTCCTCCTGAAGAGTGGTTTTGGGAATAATTATATAATCTGAGCGTGGAAGAATCTTACGGAAACCCGGAATGTCTGGAACTACTGTTGTTCGAGTAGACACCTTGGAGTTCTGTTGGCAAAAAAAGAGTATGGAATAAACAAATAGGAGAAAAGGAAGAGATTCAGTTCTCAATCCTGCTATTTTCATGCCTAAAGTTCAACTGGTTTCCTGAGGCAGTTTACTAGGAATTCCTCCACATGACAGAGCCTGCAGAATCCCTCTCAGCCCTGGTTTTATCATCAATCCCCCTGATGACATGACACAAATATAACTACCATCCCCATCAGTGGGTACTAGACATATCCATCTTGAATTTCAAAACATTATCCCTTCACTGAACAGAAGGCAAAAGCAAGAGGCAGTGGCCTCACACTGCTGCTTTATAGGCTGTCCTAAGCAGAAATACAAACTGGAATCTGCAGTTAAGTGATTCTCTCATAGTGCTGTGTAAGCAGTTAAGTGCCTCTCTCTTCACATGGCAAAGAACTGCCAGAAGGATGACTTACCGGGTCCAATCCCTCTTTCTCTAGCTTGGCTTTCTCCAAGTAATAGCTTTTTTCAGCCACACTGAGCAACCTCCAGCTCTCGCTTATCTTTTTGTTGATTTCAGATTGAGGGAGGTGAGGGAGCTCTTGCTGTACTTTCAAGTAAATGTCATAATAGTAGAGGAGGTAAGCAGATCTGAAACGCAACCAGAGAGTGAAATGTTAACATCATTCTACATAAATTCCTTTGGAAAAAGAAATCCACAAGGTTTATGTTTGTCTCAAAGTCAAATGACAAGCACGTTACATTCAATTCCACTTGTAAATGCATTTTTTAACCAAATGAAAACTAAGATTCTGAGGAGAACCTCTGAAGTAAGGAGAAAGAGCCTAAAGCAAATTATTCTGGGGCACACAGTATTAAGCAACAGTAGCATCCACAAAGGCAAGGATGTCAGAGTGGGGTTAAAGGGTCAAGATAATTTTTTTCTATAAAAAATTTTACACTATGAAGTGTTCCCAGTGCACTGCAAAGTCCACTCCTGCCACAAAAAAAGAAAAACTGCTCCCATATCCTACACAGGCACTAAATTAAGACAGAAAGAACTTACCTAGGCTTTTTAGCTTTTTCTCCATGATCACCAGTACTTTTATATTTCTTTTTCTTCTTAGACGGCACTGGTGACGCGTAAGTGTAAGTGCCCTCTATTTCCTCCATTACCACAGTTACTTCAGTGCCGTCATATGGAGCCTCCATTGCTAAAAATATGTATTTTATGTTATGTACTCGACAAATTATACAGAATTTCTCCCAACAAAGACTGCCCTTAATCACCTTTGTAAACTGACAACATCACTGGCATTTAAGTTTGACTTTAATTAACCAAGACAACTACATGTTAGTTAGTTACCTATTTTTAGAAGAAAGCACCTCAATACCATCAGTTCAGGGCAGTCACACTGCATCTGCACTTAAAAGCTGCAATTCCCCAGGAACCTCTCAGATAAGTTTGGTATCGAGAATGAGTCTTACCCCCAGCAAGCAGGTCTCCAGCTACAAGATATCATGGCCACACTCACAAAAGCAAGGCCAGAGGCTGAATAAACATGGAAGCCTCATAATCCTCTTACCCACCAGAAGATCTCCAGAGCTCCTCGCTTAACATCAGCAACAGCTCCTGCCTCCGCAGCGCTGGGAGGCAGAGAGAGCATGGGAAGCCTCAGGAGGTAAGAGGCAACACTACCTGGGCTCCAGGGCAGCTCATGCATGACCCGCAACTCGGCCCCACACAGTCACTAATCCCGGGCAAGCCAAAGCCCGTTAAACGGAGGTCCCATTCCCTCCACAGCCCCCGAGGCGAAGCGGAGCGCTTTTCGGCCCTGGTGAACTTTCCCCCCGGCCCTCCCGAGGAAAGGCCCTGGCGCCTCGACCACTCACTGGACAGC